TATAACCTTTCAACTCAGTTGGGTAAATACCATGGAGCATTATTGCTGGATTGTATGCTAAGAGCAGGTCTAGTTTTACAAGAAACTGCCAAACTGTCTGTCAAAGTAGCAGTACCATTTGCATTCCCACTATCAGTGAATGAGATTTCTTGTTCCACATCCTTACCAGGCAAAATACTTTTTAATTTTCCTTTGACCCTTTGGTTATTAAGAAGTGTGTTATTTAGTTTCCAAATATTTGGGGATTTTCCAGACACCTTTTTTTATTGGCTTCTAATTTAATTTTACTGTGGTCAGTGTACATACTTTGTATGATTTGGACCCTCTTTAATTTATTGAGACATGTTTTATGGCTCAGAATATGGTCTATCTTGGTAAATGTTCTTGGCACATGAAAAAAAAAAGTGTTTTTCTGCTGTTGTTGGGTAGAATGTTCTATAAATGTTAATTAGGTTGGTAGTGTTAGCCAAGTCTTCCATATCCTGATTGCCTTTCTGTCTACTTCTTCTCTCAGTTATTGAGAGGAATATTGAAATCTCCAAAACTATAATTGTAGATTTGTCTATTTCTCCCTTCATTCTATCAGTTTTTGCTCCACTTATTTTGAAGCTCTGTTATTAGGTGCATACACTTTCAGGATTGTTATGTTCTCTTGATGAATTGACCTCTTAATCATTATGAAATAAACCTCTTTATCCCTGTTCTCTGAAATCTGTTTTGTCTGATGTTAATATAGTCACTGAGGCTTTCTTTTGCTCTGGCATCTTTTTCTATCCTTTTACTTTTAACTTATTTGAGCCTTTATGTTTAAAGTGGATTTCTTGTATGTGGCATTTTATGTAGGCAATGTCTCATTATTTGTATATAATTTGTCAATCTTGCCTTTTAATTATGGTGTTTACACCATTTACATTTAATGTGATTACTTATGTAGTAATCTAGCACCTTGCTATTTGTTTTTTATTTGTCATACTTGTTCTTTATTCCCCTTTTCCTTTTCCTGTCTTCTTTTGGATTAATTGAGTATTTTATTATTATTCTATTCTGTCTCCTTTTTTGGCTTATTAGCTATAGTTTTTTGAGGGGCACAATTAAGCATCCAAATCTTGGTTTGGGCTCAGGTCATGATCTCAGGGTGATGAGATCAAGCCCTGCGTCAGGCTCTGCACTCAGCGTGGAGTCTGCTTAAGACTCTTTCCATCTCCCTCTGCCCCTATCCCCTCTCTAAAATAAATAAATCTTTTTTTTTTTAAAGATTTTATTTATTTGACAGAGAGAGACACAGCGACAGAGGGGAACACAAGCAGGGGGAGTGGGAGAGGGAGAAGCAGGCTCCCGGCCAAGCAGGGAGCCTGATGCGGGGCTCGATCCCAGGATCCTGGAATCATGACCTGAGCCGAAGGCAGACGCTTAACGACTGAGCCACCCAGGCGCCCCTAAAATAAATAAATCTTAAATATATATGTATTTATTTAAAATATACATATATTAGCTATAGTTTCTTTAAGTGGTTGCTTTAGATTCAATGGTATACATTTATATATTATACTACTTCACAAATAGTGTAAGAACCTTGCAACGCTAATTCTATGAAATGTGTTAATTCTGGGTTATTTTCAATTTATTACATTTTCTCTTCATTTGGGGTGTGTTTTCCTGCTCCTTCACATACCAGATAATTGGATCCCAAACATTATGAATTTTACCTTTTTGGGAACTAGATATTCTTGTGTGTGTGTGTGTGTGTGTATTTGAGCTTTTCATGTCTTACTTTTAAACTTTAAGACAGAGCCAAAGTAACCTTTAACCTAGGGCTGAATTTTTACACAGTGATGGGCAATAATATCCTTCTGAGTCCTCTACCTAATGCCTCAAACTTTATAATATATTCTACTGTGCCCGGTGGAAAGATGAACTATTCCCAACCCTGTGTAACATCAGAGGATTGTTCTGCCTATCTATTAGGTGATTCTTTCCTCAGCCTCTGATAGGCTCCTCATATGCTTTTACTTATCAATACTTAGCTGAAGACTTGGGGAAGACCCAGTTCAGATCTCCAGAGCTTTCCTGTAGTATGCTGTCCTGAAATCTCTAGCTATCTTGGACTCACCAAACTCCGAACTCTGTCTCTTCAATTTACAAAGACCTCTAGGCTCTGCCAGGTTTTACCTCATGTCAGGGACACTCTAGGCAGTAAGCTAGGGCCACAACTTGTTTTCCTCTTTCTCAGGAATTATTGCCTTGTCCTGGCTGTTGTTCAATATATGAAAACTACCGTGGGTTTTTTCCCCCTCTATTGTTTAAAGGGGGGAGATAAATCTGGTGTGTTACTTCACTTGGCCAGAAGCATAATTTGGTCTTTCATTATAAAGAGCAAAGGAGGCCTACATTTTTTATGTCAGAAGGTTGAAATTTAGGGCGTTTTTTGGTACTGGTTGGGCCAAAGAATTTATGCCTAAGGATGTTTATTTTTTATGTCATTTCTTAAGGTTTTTATTTAGCATCTTTAGGAAAACAAACCAATTTCTTCTAAGGTATAAAAGATAATCCTCTTGGAGTAGAAAGAATGCAAGAAGAGTCATGCATCGACTGAGAGAAAACTTAAACAACCTTAGGGACAAACTCAAGGCTATATCTAAGACAACAATGTTCCTCAGGATTTGTGTGAAAGGAAGCCTACTTAGGAGGGTTTGTTTGATCATTCTTCAGAGAGTGAGTGAATTCAAAAAAGGGATGAACAAACAAGATTAGAATGATTGAGATATCATATAGAAAAAGTGAATGTCTCATTTGGAAGGTGATTTGAGGCACTGTTCTCGAGTCAGGATATCAGGACTCAGTGTCTAAAAATTACATATATTATCTTTTATAATCAGGGTGAGAGAGAAAAAATGAGGGAAAATGCAAAATAGAAATGAGTGATTAAAGAGATTCCTGTCTAATGGGGCATTTGGGAAAGAGAACATTTGTGGTTTAACCCAAAATCCATTTGAAATTGACTTCTCACTGCCATCTTCTACTATAGAAGCTGAAAAGTGAGATACTTTCTCAACATCCATTAAATGTAGGGAGGCAGTGTTGTGGCCAGTTAGATATGTGGAGAAATCTGCTGGAGGGCCACTGGGCAGATTTCCTTTGCTGTCAAAAGAAGAAAAGACCTAATTAGTACTACCCTTCCCCATTTTTTACCTTCTTCTTGCCTTGAGGTTGGATAGCATGACTGCTATTGTGGGAGCCATCTTGAAACCAAACAATAGATGAAAATCCAATCCTCTAAGAAGGGCAGAAGAGGAATAAAAAGAGGCCTGGACCCTTCTTGATATTTTGAACAGTTGGACCAACGCCAACAACTCCCTTACACTGAGCCTCTATTTTTTAGGCCGTTATTTGTTGTGTTTTCTCAAACTTAAAAGCTAATTCCATTCCTTGCTGATACAGAAGCAAAACATAAATTCGCAGGGCTGCACTTTGTTCGTCTGCACATTGAAGACAAATTAGTCCAGTAATGACCAAACACACTGGGAATAAGCAAGGCAAGGTGGCAGATATACATGACTCATTCCTAATTATTCTTTGCCATTTGTTTTACATGTTTGTACCTAGAAAGACTGTTTAAATTAGTGGAAACTGTCCACTGACTATAGTATCAGAAACCAAATTACTCCTCCAAGTAACACACAAAAAAAGAGATGTTTGGGTAAAGCAACAAGACTTAAGGAGAGGGGAAAAAAGAATTGGTGTCCTGTTTTTCCAGGTGAGGTAAGGGAAATGGAGAAGCTGAGTAACACACCTCCTCAGTTACTGATGCAGAAATCTTCAGACGGCATTCTGAGCAAATTCTTGGTCCACCTCAATTTTCTCCTCCTCATCCTTCAACTTGCCATGAGGAGTTGAATGTGAAAAATGAGTACTTCTTTTCTTGAACTCTTTGAAAATTAAGAAACACACTTAGATGATCCTTGGATAATAAGAATAAAAACCATAATACCACGCACAGAAGAAATTACAAGAAACATAAAAATACAGACCTATAGAAAATAAGTATGAAAACCTAGAAGAAATGGAATATTTCCTACAAAATATAGATTATCAGAATTAATCCAAGAAGTGAATGTTTTGAATCAAAGATATTAGAAAAGCAATTAAAAATCCTATCTCTAAAAAAGGCGGCCTCGGGACCAAAAGATTTCTCAGCCAAGTTTCATCTAATCTTTAACATATAATTTCAATGATCTCTTAAACAATTCTAAAGTGTAGGAAAAGATGAAAAGCTCCCCAATTCATTCTATGAAACAAGTATTGCTTTCTAAAAATATTTTATTCAAGTATAATATACATACAGAAAAGTGTACATATAAGTGTAAAATTAGATGAATTTTCATGAACTAAACAATCCAACATAAACAAGCACCCAGATAAAGAAACAAAATACTACCAGCACTGCAGATCTGACTCCCTCCCTTTCAGACACTCTGTCCTCCCCTACCTCTCTCTCACTGAAGATAACCACTCTCCTGACTTCTAACAGTTAACATAGATTAGGTTTGCCCATTTTTGTACTTTATATAATGGAAAGCATACAGTATTCTTTTATAGCTGCCTTTTTAGGCTCAACATAATGTTTCTGAGATTCATCCATATGTTGCTTGTACTTATACACTGTTCATCCTCATTGCTGTATAATATTCCATTGCATGAATACCAAAATGTATTTATCCATTCTATAATAGATGGACTTTTAGGTAGTTTCTGGTTTGAAGCTATTACTAATAATGGTGCTATAAGCATTCTAGAACATATCTTTTGGTGTACATATGTATGCATTTTATTGGATGTCTGCCCAGAAACAGAGTTATTAGATTTCATCTGTTCACTTCCGTAGATTGATCCCAATGGTTCTCCAACATGTTTGAATAAATTTGCATTCTCACTGGCTAGGGGGTGAGCCTTCTGATTAGTTTCACATTTTGTCAACCTGCATAATTTTTTACATCTAATAAAAAGTCCACTGAAGAAACCCATAGACCAATCTCACTTAGGAATATGCATGCTGAAGTTCTAAATAAAATATTAGCAACTGGAAAACTGATTTATAAAAGACAGAATAACACATTATGACCAAGTAGGTTTTATTCCAAGGAGACAAGAATGGCTTAACGTCAGCAGCTCCACAAACAATCTAGCTAGTCACCAGATTAAAGGACAGTAACACCCAAACACATCAAAAGAAGCTGAAAAGGCATTTGACAAAATTCAGCAGCTATTTCTAGTAAAATCTCTTGGTAAAACAGGAAAGAATTTATTTAAAGAAGATTATTTACCAAATAGCAACACAAATACTCAAAATAGCTAAATACGCAAACTATTTCAATTAAAATCAATAGCACACAGAGATGCCTGCTATCACCATTATCACTTAACACTATAATGGAGCTTCTAGACAATAAAGATTCTAGAGAAGAAAAGAATTTTTCAAACACTGGGAAAAAAGTTATTTTTGTGATTATGTGAGTTTGAGTGTCATTACATTTGTGACTGTCATCATTAGATTTCTAAAAATCCCAAGAGACTGTAGTGAGAACTTCAGGAATTAATGAGAAAATTTAGTAAGTATATATAATAAACGTGTTGTATTCAAGGTAAGCATACACACACAAAAGCTTTTTATTTATAATAAGCCTTTAGAAATGGAAATGGAAAAAAATCCATTCTCAATAATGACCAAAAGACTAAGGAACAAGACTACATTTAGTAAAAAAAAAAAAAAAAAAAAAAAAAGACACAGGACTTAAGTCTCAAATCTCAATCTTACTAATGATATAGACAGGATCTGAGCAAACAGAAAATGATACAATTTTGTTAGTTCTTAGAAGACAATATCATGTCAATTTTCCCAAAATTAATCTTTACATTTAATGCAGTTTCAACCGCTAATTGGATAAAATAATCACAAACTTCAAATGCTTGATAATAACCAAGAAAAGTAGTAAAAAGAACAGTAGTTCAGGAGTGTGGGGTGACACAAAGCTCTGCCTGACCATTTTATAAAGCCCTTGTATGCAAACAGAGTCACTGTAATTAAATGCATGATATTGCCATATATAGAGTACTATAAGCAGAGTATATTGAGAAATCTCATTATATATGAAAAATTAATATATGACAAAGTTGGTATTTTGTTTCATTGGAAAAAGATAATTTGATAAGAAGTGTTGGAACAATTGGCAACCCACTCAGAAGAAAGTACAGTTGGATCCATAGCTTGCATTCTATACAAAAACAAATTCCAAATGTAAAGAGTAAAGACAAATGTGAAAAAAACACTAACAATAAAAACCAAGAATAAAATGCATAAGCCATTCTAGGAGACTACACATGCCACCCAGGGGTGAAGGCCTTAATACAGAATACTTTGAAATTTTTATATATTTATAAATGTCCATATTTTATAAAATAATATACTTGAGTATATACTAATATAAAATTTTGAATGGGAAAAGGTATTATAAATATGGTAAACAAATTACAGTTTGGAGAAAATTTGAAATAATATGATGAAGTGTTTGCATATAATGTAGAAAGAGCACTTACAATTTTTTTTAAAAAGTGCACATATGGGCAAAATATTAATAAAAATGGAGTGAAAAATAAAATAACTAAAAACTTACAATGTGAATAAAAAGATACAAATAATGCAATTCACCTTATGAGCAAAATCCAAATGGCTAAGTTTTCTATGGGAAAAGTACTTAATACTATTAGTGGTCAATAGACAACTTACAAGAGTTGGGAAAACTGTTTGCAACCAAGAGTAGAAAGGCTTAATATATATGTGTAATATACAAAAACCTTCTATGAACTAGTTAAATAAAAAAATAAAAAGGCAAACACAACAGAAAGATATAAACGTAAAGCTATAAATAAAAATATGAATATTTGTGGTAGACAGAATTCTAAGATGGCCCCCGTGATCTTTGCTCCTGGTGTTTACTCTCATGATAACGCTACATTTACCAAGCAAAGGGAGTTTGTGGAAGTTATTTAAGGTTACTAACCAATAGTCCTTAACATACAGAAATGATCTGGGTGGGCCTACTCTAGGCACACGAGCCCTTTGAAAAGCAAGAGAGTTTTCTCTGGCTGATAGCAGAAGAGAAAACACAGTCAAGTATGAGAAGGATCTGATGAATCCTTGCTAACTTTGAAGATGGCAGGGGTGGGGGGTAGCGTTACATACAAGGACTGGAGAGTAACCTCTCAAAGCTGAGAAGAACTTCTGGCTAACAGCCAGCAAGGAAACAAGAGACCTCCATCCTACAACTGTCCTACAATTGTAAGGTTTGAAATTCTGCCAACAACATGAATGAGCCTGGAAGTGAATTCTTCCCCCAGATCCTTTAGTTAAGAGCCCAACCTGGCACACACTTTATCGGACACTAAACAGAGGGCACAGTCAAGGCCACTTCAAGTTCTAACCCACATAACTATGAAATAATAAACGGGTATTGTTTTAAGCTGCTAAATTTGTGGTAATTTGTTATACAGCAAAAGAAAACGAATACCAAAGGTAATTTAATTATGAGTGAAATCCAAATAACCAAAGAACATATGAAAAGTTATGCAGATTTACAGTAATCAGGAAAATGAAAAAAAAAATAATATGGAGAAATCACTGTACATACCAAGAGTCTTTTTTCTTCTCATTTTTTTTTTTTTAATGCTACAAAAGCTATTGCTTCTGGGTATAAAAAGGGCATTTTTATACTGTACATTTACTGATGAAAATATAAATTGTTCCAGCCTTTTTGGGAAACAATCTGTTAATACTTAGTAAAAAATGTTAAATCTACATATCTCTCAACCCAGCAATCCTACTGCAGGGACTCTATTCCGTAGGAGTGAAACCATCATGGTCATGAATATGTGCACAGGTACAATTACCAAAATAGTGAAAATCTGGTAGTAAATGCCCACTGATTATGGAAGAAGTTTAAGACATCATCAGAGTATTCATCATTAAAAAGAATGAAATAGCAGCTATAAGATAGACTTGAAGGAATTTCTATCACATATTGTTGGGTGAGAAAAGATGCAGAGGACATGTATTATCTCATTTATTTAAAGCAAACAGACCCACCAAAAAATCTTTTTATTTATGTGTGTATATTAAGGAATTTAAAAGAAATCTATGTATGTATAGGCTTGTAAGTTGCTCAAAATATACATTAAATTTTAAAAGCAAGTTGCAGAGAACATGTAGAGTAAGACAAAACTCCACGCAGTATTTGTGTACACATACTTGTATGAACAAGAATAGAGACATATATAACGCTATTACTACACGGGGGGTGGGAGTGAAATGGTATGGTGGGATGTGATGAGTTCTGCTATTATGGTCTTCATTACTTATTGCTCTTTTCTGTTGCTCTTTTTTTCAAGTTCTTATTTATTTAGGTAATCTCTAGAGCCAACATAAGTCTCAAACTTACGACCCCAAGATCAAGAGTAGCATGCTCTTCCAACTGAGCCAGCCAGGCCCCCCTTGTGTTGCTCTTTTAATTAATCGTATTAATTTAAATTGTATTACTTTTTACGTCTGAGAAACATCTCCTTTCCCTTTATTTATCCTTAGCACTTACCACTAATATTCTGTATTTCTTACCTGTATTATTTGTTGTTTTCCCCAACTGGAATGTAAGCCACATCAGGTAAACGATTTTGTCTGTTTGCTGATGAACGCCAGCGCCTAGAATGGCCTGGCACATAGCAGTCACTCAAATATTGAGGAAAGTAATATTTTATGTATAACTTCTTCTTTAGGGCTACTCTTGATGTTCATTTTAACCTTGTTTCTCCTAAATACCTGATATTCTAGAAGTTATCAGGAGTGTGAGAGAATTACGTGACAAGAAGTATGAATGCAGGGAGTAATAATTATTTGTTGGATGTTTATTACTGCCCAACATTTTATCAGGTGTTTTGTATCTATTATCTCAAATCAATCTATCAGGTAGATTTATCATCTCCTTTTCACAGATGAGAAATCAACTCACAAGAGTTAGCTTGACTACAGTTTCACTGACAATAAATGTCCTGTGTCCAGGCCAAAATCCTGTTCCTTCCTTTGTGCTGTACTGATCTTAAAAGAATATTTTAATAATTAGAAGAGATAATAGTTCTTACATAATACAAGGGTTTAACATTGAGATTTAATATTTCACACTCACACAATTCACTACTCTGTTGATGATTCTATTAATAAGTCATTTGATTGTTATATATAAATTGTCTGTCTCTAAACTTGACTCTTTGACTCCTGAAGCAGTTAAGCTCTGCAGCTCAAGGCCGCACGCCACCTGGACCCTGGTACAGCGGTAGCAGTGAACCCGGACAACACAAGCTCTCCCGGGGCGAGTTAATAAACATTTAGATAATTACTATCAAATGATCTGGACAAAAAGCAGCCCTGAAAACATCCTGAGGGATTTGTCCTAGATTCTCCCAATTCAAGGCAAGCTCCCCAGATGAATGCCTTTCTTGACAATCTTCTGCTGGAACTTCCTACTTCTTTGGGAAAAAAAAAAAACCCAGCCAGTTAGGAACAGCAGGACCATCTGAGGGTCACAAGACAAGAGTGGTGGACCTGGCCTGGGCCCGAGACAGTCCTGGCAGGTCGAGGTTCCAGACTGCAGCAGTGGCCCCAGCGGGGAGCAGAGGTCAGCGGGGTGGTGCTGCGGAGGTGAGGGAAAGAAGGGGCCCCATAGCAGGGTTCAGACATGCCTCATCTTCCCCCACATGCTTTGCTCAATTCCAGTGCAAGGCAGGACTGGAAGTGTGCAGCAGCGGGAGGGTGCCTTTGGCATTCTGTTGCCACCTTCCAGGTGAGGTCCAAATTCCCCCCTAGTTAGGGTGCAGACCTCCCTCTTGGGATCAGCTTCACAGATCGAAATACATTCGCGATTGGCTAGGGACTGGCGGAGAGGACTCTTTTTTCTTTGTCTTTGAAGATCTGGATAGATTCAGAGTTTTGAAAATGTGCTGATTACTCACCCAACAAATAGTTACTGAGTACTTTTTGTATGGTAAGGCACCAGGAGAGGTGCTAAGGGGACTATAAGAAAAACAAGTGAGGAGCTTACAGACACTGAAGCAAACAAATAATCATTAACTGCTTTTAGTTCGTTAGGTAACAGTGAGTGATACTTACAGTCTGAGTTGAGGATGGTATAAGGCGTTCATAGTAAGGCTCATCACTACCTGCTGCCCATACCACAAAAAAATCCACAAGATTTTGAAATATATAAAATAAACTTATCACATCTTCCTTGCTAGTCTTTGCACTTCCAAAATAATTTTTAAAAATCACACAAAATTTGTGTTTATCTGCAGAGGCAAGCTGTATGTAACTTGCGTACATCAAGGACACAAAACTGCATGGATCTCTAACCTTCGATTTCAAAAGTAAAATCATTTCTGCCTCCAGAAAGCAATGATGTTCCTATAAGGAGAAAAAACAATCTGCTTGCCAGGTTTATTTTTTTTTAATTGCAATCATTAGACGTGTATTCCACGTATTGTAGAATATGAGAAATAGGAGCTTATTGTCTTGCTTGTTTAAAAAGCTGACCAGAATGAGTAAAAGAAAGCCTGAATATTTTAGAGCTGGTAGAAAGCCTTTCTTCTGACCCTGAGATCTACAAGGAAACTGAACAGGTACTATTTCACTGAAAAACAAAGTTTCCATTTAAATGAATTAAGTGGTATTTTAGCTGATTCAAAACTCGTGAATGGCAACCGGCAGAATCTAACCTTAACGCTGATAGCTCTGAGGGGACATTGCTAATTAACATTTTTTACATGCTATACATGTTAATTTTAACATGTATGAAATACGTAAGTCTCCATGTTGACCTGCAAACTATGTACAAACATAGTGCTTTTCCAGGCAGTCAAAATATGGAGACATTTACCACTTGTCTACATAGCAGTTGAGTACTGTATCAGGAGTGTTACTCATAAATGACTGTCAAGAGATGTGAGACCAACGAATTTTTTTTCTAAAATACACAATGAATGAAGTTATTCCAACAGGATATTCAGAAATACATGGGCTCAAAAGTCTGTAGAAAAATATGCAAATATATATATATATATTTTAAAGATTTTATTTATTCGACAGAGAGAGACATAGTAAGAGAGGGAACACAAGCACGGCAAATGGGAGAGGGAGAAGCAGGATTCCCGCTAAGCAGGGAGCCCGATGTGGGGCTTGATCCCAGGACCATGGGATCATGACCTGAGCCGAAGGCAGACGCTTAACGACTGAGCCACCCAGGCGCCCCCGCAAATATATTTTTAAGTGCTTTTAAAAGCATAGTCAAAATCATTCAAAACAGAATTCATTCTATAAAAATAATTCTCCAGTCTTTTCGTGAGATTATCACTTGGCCACATGAGAACATTCTTACATGTCTGGTCTTCATTCTGACATATGCAAATGGTATAACATACCTGTGCCTATGTTAATACGGCTTCCTAAAATATCATAAAAACTATGTTGTCTGATACTTTACCAGGGGGCTCTAGAATAACTTTTGATGTACAGATCTTTAATTTAGGTAACAAGGACCAATGACAAGCCAGAATTGGAACCATTCACTTTTGTAGGTCAAAAGATCTCAGAGGTCATTGTTCCAGGCCATTTAAAGAGGAAGAAGGACAATGGGTGGTGGTGGGTCCAGATTGCAGAGGTATCTGGCGGCTTTTCCTTCTTGGTATGGTGCTTTTTTCCCCACACTCTCACCCAAATTAGCCAGAACCCAAAGTAAACTTTCTGATGAGATTTCTTTTGCTCTAACGTAAGTTAATCTTGTTTATTTATGAAAAATTACTGCCTTGGTCCCACTTCCATCAGGAAGTAGCCAGATATCAGTATCCTTTAACATTTCAGCACATCTAAGTCACAAGTTGCTTGTTTTTACAACTCCTACTTAACATAAAATTTTGCTTTCTGGGGTGCCTGAGTGGCTTAGTCGGTTAAGTGTCTGACTTGATTTTGGCTCAGGTCATGATCTCAGGGCCGGGAGATCAAGCCCCAAGTCCTCCGTGCTCAGCAGGGAGTCTGCTTGAGATTCTTTCCCTCTGCCCCTCCCCCACTCTCTCTCTCAAATAAATCCTTAAAACATCTTCTTTGCTTTCCATGCAGTTTTTTTTTAAATTTTTTTAATTAAAGGAAGTTTTTCAGGTTGGGAAATTTCATTTGTGAATGATGGGTTTCCCTTACCATTACCCTTAATTTGATGGTGTTATTATATGAGGTAATTCAAAAATACCTTTGGTTTGAGGTTGGAGATTGGGAAGCTGGTATATATACTGGATCTTAAGAGAGCACAGAAAATTTTGGCACATGAATTAAGAATACTAATTCTAGTACTCCAAGTGTATTTAACAGATGTTTTACTGTGGGTTCTCCTTTACATTACTGGATTAATTATCTCTCTCTTAAAGAGGAACACAGGAAAAATCAATGTGGAGTTAGCATCTGGACCAGCCTTCAATGTAAGGTGAATGGCTAAATCATCAAGGACAAGAAAATTTTCTACAAAACAGGCCCTTCTTGGTAGCAGGATATTGCAGATTTTGTTGACTCAAATAGATCCTTCAAGTCTGACTGAGGCCACCATTACCTTTAGTCTAAACAGGATTAAGGAAGGGCTTAGAGTTGTAGGAGCTAAGTGAAACAAAGTGAATCATTTTCTGTATGGTGGGTTTTGAATTGTTTGGTTTTGAAAGTATATAAAATATACTAAAAATTGTGTTCCAGAAAATATGGATTTCAATTTTCAGACCTGCAGGTCAGTGCTTACCCATAAAACTGGAGTGTCCTGATCACTGTAAGCAACAGGTGTAACTAAGAAGTAACAAGTGGAGGGACGCTTCATGGTTACAGTGATTGCGTTAAATAGTGCTGCTAGATTCCTAAGTGTTCCTGGTGACTACCCTAGGTGCCAGAACAGCTCTGGAATGGTCTTGGGAAATCCAATGCAGGTCAGAATACCACTCTGGAGTACCCCAGAGTGTCCGTCAATCCATGTAAAAACATTTAGCATCCTCCTGACCTTCTGAACCGGATTACTCTAAAATAACTCCAGCAAATGTCTCAGTTCTCATTAAAAGGGACAAAGGGATATTTCTGACACTACTGAAAAATGTGTCCATGACAAAGGATATAACACTCACTACTACAGAAGCATACAGAACATCAAAGAACAGCAGATAGTTTCAAGGACACTCTTAGATTCCACATAACATTATGGCTTCAGATTGGAACAAAGAGATTGTGAATTGTGGGCAGAGAAAGCCTTTGAGAAATAATGTTGATTTGAAAAAGCAAGGGGAAGGGGAAGGCTTATGTTTGTTAAATAGCCAAACAAAAAATAGAAACACATTTTAATTTTTAAAAAATATGTAACTGAACACTTGAAAATATACGCATGTGTCCCTGAAAGTATCACTGACCCAATCTTATGGAGTATTTTATTTAATTTTACTGGCTTTCCAAAGGTTCAAACTCTATAATGATAAATTTCTCTACCTTTCTCACAATCAATAATTAAGACTGTTCCATTACTTTGGACTCACATCTACTTTGTCTTACACCCCTTTTATTTCTCTGCATGCCTCTCCTACCCACCCCCCCACCAAAAACACAAAATCAAGATGTATTATTTTAACTGCAAATCCACTAGATTCCAAAATATTTCAATTCATGAGACACCTATAGCACATTATCTATATTTGTACACTTTATTTAAAAACAAATAATACACTTAGAGCCACCAAAAAAGATATCTTAATTAGCTTATCCATACCCTGAATTTACAAAAGAAACTTCTTGCACCACAAAAATTAGCATTTGGATTAATTTACATTAATTGATATAACTGAATTTAAAAATACCTGAAGATCAAACAATCTGGTCCAGGGCTCACCAGTTGGGGGGTGGGGAATTGGGTGTGTGGAGAAAAGGAGTTACTTAGGAAACTGAACTGATGATGCCCTGAAGTCAGCTCTAGTAAACTGAAGTTGAGAAGACATAAAGTAACCAGTAGATTTCAGGATTACAAAGAAGTGGTTCCTCCTAAAAACATATTAGATCATATAGTTGGAATGGGTGTGGGGGATATCTCTTAATTTGGATTGAAAAAAAGTTTGTGGAGAGGGGGGTTGTATTTGTTTCTCACAAGAGGCAAACTTCAGCCAAACAATGAGAAGAAAGTAGGGCGGGAGGTATGTGGTAGACTGAAGGCTTTCTGACTGCTGATAATACCGAATTTAGCAGATCTGTACCAGTCAACTAAAATACCATTCTCTGAGACATTATCAGAAAGGAGCTAACAACCAGGGAAAAATCATTCTACTTTAACAAGGCACTCACTGGTTCACAGCCTGTTAAAAATCCAGGCAGACATTAAAGTTAATCTAAATTAAAATGAACTTTCTAATTTGCATCAGAGGGATGACAAGCACATGTGGTCCCAGTTAAATAAAATCTAAGCTTGACTAGCAAAGATGCAGAAAATTCTGACCCCTAAGTACCACTTTAGGAATACTGCTAGAATAAACAAGTGGAATCTAGGGATCTCTGTTTGGCCTAAATTTGTGGGGGGTTTTTTGTTGGTTTTTTTTTTTAAGATTAAGAACAAAAACAAATATGGAACAAAAGCAAAAACAAAATTGATGCAATCCGGTAAATACTTTGTCAATCTGGTGTCCCTGACACTGACATGGAGGTCCAGCTGGATGATGGATATGGCCAATTAAAAAACTTTCAGTGCTGAAAGTAAAAATGATTAAAATCATTTACCAATGGCCTGGCCTTTGTTTTTAAAGATGGACATGTTTTCTGGACCTTCCCTTAAAAGAAACTTCTGGAAATGATACATTTCACAAAAATAGACATATAATTTTTTTCAGCTACTACTTTTGTACAACCTGAATCCCAGTGTCAAACACAAAGTACTACAATTATATAAATAACTACACAAATAACATAGTAACAAAGGCAACTTCTAAGTAAATAAAAGTAATGATTATGTACTTAATAGCCTTGAAATAGTCAAAGAATAAAGTAAGCTGAAAAAAACTGTACTTAGAGCTCTTTTTCCATGTAAATTCAGTAACAGTTTGGCTCTTGGTTGAAAATATCACAGACATATACTAACCAGAGATTAACTATATCCACTCACTATCAACCTTGATGATAAATTTTAAGTTCTTTCAAAGGAAAACCAAAACTCTTAAGTCTTTCAATCTGATTTGTGACATTTTAGTTCAATATAACTTAAATGACAAAGCCTGAGAAAAGCACCAACATCGATTTTTAAATTGCATCCAATCATCATTTTCAGATGTCAAAGATTTGCTTTAGTTAAAATGGCAGCAATGACAAAGAGGTAGATATGAAAGATGTCATTTAAACACTATTCTTAGGTGGTATTTTAACTAGTTCAGGTGTTTAAAAATAATTTTTACTAGTTGAATCTTCATCACATAAGAATTTCATGACATGCTCTTGTGTAGGAGGGAAATATATGAAGTCCTAAAAAAGAGGGCCTTTAAAAATCACATTTAAAAAAAATTAATTTACTTAGCCAACATTTAAGAGAGCCCATCATTTTGGTGAACCAATAATTTCTCCTTTTACCTGAACTTGACTATAGTGAAAGAATAGTTATTTTTCCTCTCTATTGAAATTTCTAGGAATTCACATTCAAAATCCTTGGAAATACATGTGGTGCTCAGAAGAGCACAAAGACAACGCATGAAATGTCCCCTGAAATCCTAGAAGTTGAGCAGATACATTGAAGACATTGATGGTCACAAATCAGGACCGTCACAGATTGGCAAGCAAACACACACACACACACTCTCTCTCTCTCTCTCTCTCTCTCACAGCCCCCACCCCCCACCCCCCCAACTCAATCCTCATCCTCACTGTAAGGCTGCATTTGTATTTTATTTTAAAGGCACCTCTCATTCTCTAGCTATTGCCTTCTTGATGATATCTGTTTTGTTAAAAATCCTGAATGTTCAATGGAAATAGTTCAGTACTGAGAATGGAATATTTTTCAATTCACATTTGAATAGCCAGGTTTTCTTACATTCAGATTTTAATAAACTAGAATGACAGTCTTTAAAACAAGCATGCTAGCCTATAATGAATATAATATATACAGTAATTTGAACATTTAGAACTATATATTATACTGCAGAAGCAAACAGCACAACACTCATCATACTCATCATTAACTGCGGTGTATACTACTTCTAAAAACAAAAATACAAAACAGTAAAATGCACCTATGGTTTATATATATATATATATATACACACACACACACACACACACATACATATATATGTATATATATATAGTCTATATATATTATATATATTCTTACAATATATATAATATATATTTATAAAATATACATACATTTTAGACATTTTCAAATAAATCTTTATCATTATCTCCAAAAGAAATTTATAGCAAGAATACTGAAGGAATGAAAGATAAACAAAAAATTTTTCACAAAGTTCATTATCAGTGATGCAGCATAATTTCCCCCCTTTTAGTCATAACTAAAATGATTATAAAAGCTAAATACTTTGCATAACTAATTATCTGTTTAATGGCAAAAATTGCTAAACTTGTTCAATAGAAAAATACTGAAGGTCATTATATCACTTATGTTAAATATCTGTCTAGGGTTCGAGTAGCAAATGAGCTCCATATGACATCTGGGTTTTGAGAAGGGTGCTGCAAGCTCCCAGAGATGTATCCACAGCATATGAAAATAGGGCAGGGGACCCACATCTCCTGCTGATTTTCATACTATCCCAATATATTTCATCCAAAATATTTACAAACCAAGCACTATGAAAGCATTTCAATGACTGTTTGAATCTTGAATTTGTTCATATTGTGGATGTTCATTAAATTTTCTGTAGGCTGGGGGGGGGAATCAGACGCATGTCTATGCTTCTATCTGGTTGGAAGACAGCTTTGGCTCATTTCTGGGCTGAGATCACACAGTGCTAGTGGAGAAAAATCTCTGTTTCTGTGTACAGTTTCCAATGGCACGCACTGGCTTGCTAAAGAACTTTCAACAGTTCCAACATTTGCACTACAGTCTACCTTTCTCATGGTCATTTTCCACTCACTAACAGAAAAATTTCAACCATGAGGTATAAAATGCAGGGGAAGAGAATGTCTTGGTTTTGAGAATTTTCAGTGGCATAAGTAAAGCAGGCACTGAAGACCTTGAGAGGTAATTAAAGCAGTAACTGGTAGAACAATAGCTTAATCTGTCATAAATATGCCAAGTAAGGGCACCTGACTGGAATTTTCCAGTATCCCTCTATAAATGTTAGGTCAGCAACACCATTTTTTCACTCATTGAAGAACCAAAAGAGGAATGCACCAAACAAAATGTGTAATTCTATATCTGCATGGGAATAATATAAATGTTCACCTGGTAGCTCAAGTCCAGGTCAATTCATTTGATTATACAAAGGAGTCCCCTGAGCCCACTGTTAACCAAAGCACAGATGAAATGAAAAGGTAGCTGAGTCAAAATACTAAAGCATATCTGTATATCAATCAGGCAAACCTAGCACACATCTTTAAAGAAAATCTGCCTGTATACTTCAAAACTCTGAGAGGCAGAAAACAGAAATTTTAAAGAAATATTGTCAATTACTATCCATATCACCGCCAGAATACGTTTTCAAGGAGTAGATATACATATCATCAGAGGTGTCATTGTTATGACAATGGATTATGTGGGGAGAGGAATGTAGTAATTTTATTAAAAGATTAAAATATTTGTGGATATGTATTTTTAAAATCTGAGAACTATCATACATACATTTTGCTGAAACGTTGGGCATTAGTAATTTATTTTTAATTTCTAATTGGTCTCTGACATTTGGGGCAAACAAGAGAGTGTGAAGACAGGTGAGACAGTTGTAGGGATGAGGTACTATACATTAGGTCCAAAGAGTGGGGTCATGGGGAATACCAAGAGCTGGCCACATGTGGGTCACAGGCTAGGTGAGCTCAGGGAAGCCTGGTCCTTTATGACAGTTTTCCCCAGAAACGATATCGATACACTGTCTATTAAAACATGCTATGTATTCCAATTAAAGAATGGAGGAGGGGTAGGGGCAGGGAAAGAGAAAAAGAACTCTTTAGCCAAGGTTATGCACTGAACTCTTCCATCCAGATTTCCAGGGGGGCTCCCATTCTTGGATATATTAATGGAGGACTTCTGGGGTACAAAATAGTTGGCTTTACTGCAAAAGGAGGTATCTGACATTAACCAAGCCCTTTGGGCTGTTAAAACATAATAATTACAAACTGTTTTGGTAGATGTCAGATAATTTGAATGTGAGAGACAAAGAAAGAGCAAGAGGTCATCTGAAGCATGGTATGTGGGTTATGACAAATGAGTACTCACAGATAACTTCCGTCTTTTCAAACCACTGAAAGGTAAGATTTCATTAATATGAGATAACCACTCTGATACTATAAATATCACATGAATAAAGTGAATTTTTAAAATTAACAGAAATTATTATAAAGATATGCCCTGCTTGCCCTTAAAAATAAACAGAATCTCAAACCTGAATAAGTTAAATCCTTTAGTAAAAGCAGACTCTATCAACTATTCATAATGGTGACTCTTTTTGACAGCTAAACTTTACAATGGTACCAAATCTATTTTCAAAAATGTAATACAATATAGAAATCTGCTTACAAACTAAATATTTGTTTAGTATTTCTGAATAATAATATATTTAACATATTATTGCATTTCCTTTTTTTTCCCCCTTAATAGGTAAAACGCTTTGCCAGGTGCTTTATGTGCACAGATGAAAGGAGAGCTAAATTAAAAACTCATTTGAACACTGCCTGGTCATTATGCACATAGGGGTTAGTACAGTAGATATGGTCAAGATTACTGTTTTGACTACCTAATGTATTTAACAAGATTTCTCAGGGGAGAACTAGGTCTAAATTTCTGTTCTTCTTCTACTCATTCCCAGTCATCAAGCTTTTTAATTATCCCTTATAGCATGCCCTATTTACTCAACAGGGACAAGCCAAACTTACGTTCGCTCAGGCCTGCCTAGCGAATTAGAACAACCTCAGAAATAAAAGCTCCTATTTGGGGGAAAATTTGAAACAGTTTTCAGGCTCACAGATTCAGCTGAGCTTGCAGCAACCTGAACAAACCTTAGTTTTAGAAAACAGTATACGAATTGCAAAACTATACTTTAACAAATGTTCTCTGTGCTCCTTCAGCAGAACAAAAGGGCAGGATAGGCTGATTCTTGCCCTGGTCTTCTGTATCTCTTTTGTGCAGTTGATTATTTATAAAGAGCTAGAAGGTGAAGATGATGCATTGTGTCATACAAAGACTTTAGCCAGTGCATCAGCCCCAGCACTGGCTATATAGCATTTGGATGGGTGGAAAGCTACATCATGAATGGATTCTTCAAACTTTTTCCGATGAGCTGTAAACTCTTGGATACACGTTTTACTTTCTAGGTTCCATAAACGTATTGAACAGTCATGACCTGCATCAAAAGAAAAGGAAAAAAAAAGAAAAGAAATTGAAAGGAAACATTACATTAACATGAAACTAATAAGGATAAATAAATAATCCATAGTTGATGTACTTACTCCCAGACATCAAGTACAAGCCATTAGGATCAACTGCTAGACTTGTAACAGCTTCTAGGTGGGCTACCATGGAGTGGATGAGTTTGCCTTTGGAAAAAAGAGATTGTTACTTTTTATTAATGGCCTTCCTCATCCCTGATTATACACCAGCTCCCTTGTTACACTGATTTCTCCAGTCACCCCTCTCTGTGTACCTACTGCATCAATAGCTTTTCCCCTAACAGCTAAAACAATGTGTCTCCCTCCCCATTCCAGCCACGGTAATGATGAAAAACAAAAGCTCAAATTTCAGATTATATTTTTGTCTTTCAAATAACAACATAAAAGTCAGTCATTTCTACACAAATATTCCTTTAAGTCATGTTCATTAACCAAGACTCAGACATTATTAATCAGCTACTTTGTATCCTTTAGCTATAGGCAAATTATATGGGTTGTGAGAACAGAAGAGACTGAGACAAAGACAAAGGAACGGAGAGAAAACCTGGCCACAATTTTGGTGGAAACAACACATAGAAAGGGATTAAAATATTAAATTATTCATCACTCACAGCTAAGCAAAGTCAGCAAAAATCAATAGCAGATACTCAGGTAAATATGGCTGCTAATATGGAGTGTTTTTCTCCCAACACAGCTCCTCAGGATTTTCCTTTAGTGAAATGCAATTCAATAAAAAAATGGGAAAGCCCACATATCCTAATTCAAATCAATCAGGACCAGACAGTCAATATTATAATACAGAAAAGAGTAGTCCATGAAAAATTGACTCAATAAACCAAATGACTCAGGGTTTCCATCTCTAACACTAAGGCTATTCAAACACTGAACAATTTTAAACAAAATATAATGATCATATGTCTCTACTTCCAACATGTTTCTACTTTTCCCCAATATATTCACAGCAAGAGATCAGTTTTATTGCTATTTGAATGACCTTTTCATTGTGTCCGTAGTCATAACCTTGTCTAGTATCTACTAGTATTAAATAAACCAAGATGATTCTATATGCTACCATGAAGACTAATTCTTAGCAGATCTATACAGAATGAACAGAAACTGAGCTGGGAGAGTATCTCTTTTCATGCCTACTCCTGGACTATATTACCACTAAGAAACACCCAAATCAGGATACTTATGGTGGCGTTTGTTTGTGGGTTTTTTTTTTTTTTTTTGGTTTGGGGGGATTTTTTTGCTTTATCACTGATCACTTTGTAATAAACACTTACCTGTATTGTTATCATAGAATTTGATGTGCCTGTCTTCATGAGCAGTGATGCTGATGGGAAGAGTGGGATGGCTGATGACTCTATTTATTTGGCAAGAAGAGTTGGCTGCAAAAAAAAAAAAGCAATAAGTTAGTCAAAGCTACTATTTCTTCACACAAGAGAACTGAATACTCACCTAAGAGACTAAAAAGTAAATGATGTGACTTTAATTTGTCGTTAGTTCATTTATTATGTGACTATTCATAATTTCAATGTTAGGAAAGAAGAACTGCTGAGCAATACCATACTGACAAATCCAGAGGTACGTACAAATGAGAATTTTCTTTTCCACCTAAAATCAATGGGTGCCTCCCAAGGCTTAGCCTAGGGTCACTAACATTTCTCATTCTCTGACGACTTGCGATACTTCTGCTGCTTTAATAAAGTTCCATCATTATTTACATGTAGACGATACCTAAATTTATTTATTTTTTATTATTATGTTATGTTAATCACCATATATTACATCATTAGTTTTTGATGTAGTGCTCCATGATTCGTTGTTTGCGTATAACACCCAGTGCTCCATTCAGTACGTGCCCTCTTTAATACCCATCAACAGGTTAACCCATCCCCCCACCCCCTCCCCTCTAGAACTCTCAGGTTTGTTTCTCAGAGTCCATAGCCTCTCATGGTTCATCTCCCCCTCCAATTTCCCCCCTTCATTCTTCCCTTCCTGCTATCTTCTTCTTTTTTTTTTTTTTTAACATATAATGTATTATTTGTTTCAGAGGTACAGGTCTGTGATTCAACAGTCTTACTCAATTCACAGTGATACCTAAATTTAAATCTCCAGTCTTTCTAGATACAGAGCTCTTTGTCACATGTTTATCACCTGAAGACAAATATGACAAAGGGAGCTTCTGAGCTCTTTAATCTCTTTCTCATCATAATAGAAATGGTCATCGGGCCACGTGGGTGGCTCAGTTGGTTAAGTATCCGACTCTTGATTTTGGCTCAGGTCATGATCTCAGGGTTGTGAGATCAAGCCCCGTGTCAGGCTCAGTGCTCAGCAAGGAGTCTGCTTAAGATTCTCTCTCTCCTCCTCCCTCTGCCCCGCCCCCCAACTTGCACACACACATGCACGTGCATGCTCTCTCTCTAAAATAAAGAAATAAAATCTTTAAAATAGAAACGATCCTCATTTGACAGTCTACCATGTTTGGAATCTTAAAATAGTCAGCATCCTATTATGTGCACTATATAGTAACTTTCAGAGAATTTCAATTATATGCACAATGAGACAGGCAGGCCACATGTCATTAGGTCCATACCACAGTGCATGAACCAAGGTCTAGAAAAAATTGTGACTCCCTCAAAATCATGTGACAAAGCCAGTACCAGCCTCTATCCTAACGAGATGGTTCATGCAAATCACAAAGCTGCCAAAAATGGTACCTAAACTATCAGAAGTAATTCTAAAAGTCTTTTATCAAAAGGAAGTCAATCATTAAAAGCCTTTTAATTAGTGAGTTTTGTTAAGACACTTTATTTTTCTTTTAAAGGAAAAAAATCTATATATATAAAGGTAATACTAACTTAAGATATGTCAAAGTTAAAAAAAATCATGTTATGGTCCAGGGAGAGGAAAGGATGCTCTTCTTATAAAGTCCATTACTGGGACATCTGACAAGTTTGAATATAAACAATAACTTAGACAACAGCATAGTGTCACTGTTACATTTCCTGATTTTGATAATATGCTATGTCAGAGAATGTCCTTGTTCTTAGGAATTACATGCTAAAGGATCTAGGGGTATAAGGCTATGATGTCTCTTTACGTGGTTCAGAATTTAAAATTATACACATATACAGTGATAAAGCAAATGTCACAAATGTGGCAAATGCTAAAAAATGGTGAATCTGGGTGAAGGGTAGCTAGTTTTTGTACTATTTTTGAAACTTTCTACACATTTGAAATTATTTCAAAAAAGTTAAAATTTTTTCTAATCTCAGAATAGTTATTATGAATTTAAATTCAAACAGAAAATGTAAATATAGGTAAAAATAGCTGTAACATTAGTGTACTCTATTAGATTTTCTTGTGTTCCTAAAAATATGACATCTTAAAAACTGAAGATAGTCTTTTTCCAGTGTTAAGGGCAAGGGACCACCAGCGTGTTATCTAAGAATAAAACAAAAAGTCACTTGACCATGTGAAGTAAGCTCTGGGTCAGTTATACTTGATTTAATGGTCCTAAGCAAAGAATTTAGTTTCAAAACTCAGCATACAGATTTTTTTTTCCCCCTCTGGAGATAAAACACCATGAACAATATCCTCTGTAGGATCTAGCAGGAAAGTAACAACAGAAAAGAAATACTTCAAGTAAAATATCTCATGTATTCTGAGAGAGAGGTTTCTGAGAATAGCTTCAATTGTATTGAGATCCAGGAAATAATTATGATAGAAATCAAATGATGGAAGCAGGCAGAAGAGTTTTTATACAGTAATACCTTCAAGGAAGTTCTCCACTTAATGGTAAATCAGACAAGTAAGCAAAATGCAAAGAACACTAGAAATCACTTGAAGGCCTACCAATCACCATTCTAACAATGAATCTAAATCTTCCAAGTATTCATATTCAGCTTGCAACTTAGAAATGATTTACTTTTCACTGGATCGACAAGTACTCAATTACCTGCTTCAACTACCTTTGACTTTTTCAGTCAAATCACCATTGACATTAAAGTTTATTCTGATTTTTAAAACAAAAATCCTTTATCCTCTTAAATTCTTTTTTTTTTTTTTAAGATTTTATTTGTGGGAGAAAGAGAGAGGGAGAGCACAAGCAGGGAGAGTGGCAGGCAGAGGAAGAAGCAGGCTTCCTGCTGAGCAAGGAGCCCAACGTGGGACTCGATCCCAGGACCCCGGGATCATGACCTGAGCCAAAGGCAGACACTTAACCAACTGAGCCACCCAGGCACCCCCAATTTACTTTCACCTTGAAACGTGTTTTTGGTCAGAACTTTCATTTAAAAAAACATCTGCTAAATTCCAGAAAAGAAGAACATAGTCAAATATAAACAGGTAGGGGTAGTCATGGTAGAAAGGAATAAAAAGACTGTATTACACAACTCTAAAGTAATAAAATTGATAATTTAGGAAATGTCAGTACATATTATTATAATTCAAAATAATTATCACTTATTCCAATAATGCTGCCTTTGTTCAAAACATTTTTGGCAGTTTTCTTCAGAAAATGCTTCCAGTATCAGGCAAAAAGTTGACACACTTAAGGAAAAAAATGGGATTGCCAGACTTGACATCTTATTAATTTAGAGCAGTCATTAAAAATCAATATTTACCACTCAGGACATTCAAAGAATTGACCACAAAATCTGAAGGTAATTCCAAAAATGTTCACATCTTTCTTAGTTTTATATTGTTTTCTATATTTTACTACTGTAAGCTTTAGGTCATATATTTAAAAATGAGTTTAAGTTTACTGAGAGCCTATGTTTCTTGGCACAAAAAGAATTCTTTTTTCTATTCCATAATCTCAGTTTTTATTTTTTTGCCTCTCTCTTTTATATCCAAATAGTTCAAAACTCTCTTCATGTCTACTTCCCAAACAATTCTCACAGGACCTCAGAAAAGAACAAAGGACAACAGACTGGGAAGAGAAAATGAAGAAAGCCAAAATGGAATGAGGGAATTTTTTAAGAGAAAATGAGTAGAGGCTTCCCTCTACGAAGGAGAGAGAGAGAGAAAGACACACAGAAAGACACACACAGACACACAGATGCATACATGCACGCCAGGGTAAGTCTTTTTAAAGCAAGTTCTCAGACTAAAACAATAGTATATGCATACACAGTTTTCTTTATCAATTGCATCCTAAACTATCACTGTCTGAAGCCTAAAGATAGAAAGCAATGGTTAAAAAGCCAAAACCACTAAAATTCTGTAGTATCTTCTTCACAATCTGAGAAATTATTTCCTGACTTTCTGTATCCAATAAGAAGCTTCATATTTGAGATTCTGAGAGGCACAACTTGATCTACATTCTCATCAGGCTGTGTCAAATTACATTATTAATGCAAAATTGTTTTAAAAATGAAATCATGAGAAATGAAAAAGACTTTGTATTCAGAATAAATATTATTGTGTTCAAACAGAATTGAAAACTAATCAGTTGGTATAAAATAAAATTTGACTCCTCTTTGGAAGTCAAATGATATTCCAAACAGTATAGTTATAAATGTGCATAAACTTAACCCAAAGTCTTAAAAATCAATCGTAAGTCATTATATCCTTCTAAGTTACTGTGTTCTGTGATTTAAAAGGCAGAACTCTTTATAATAACAAGTATTTTTTGTAGCTGACTCTGGTAGTTATAATTTTGATAAAGCTTAAAAATTTTATCCAAAGACTATTTAAAGTTGGTATACATACTTGAATCTAGGTTGGATTCTAAAGTGAGAATGCGCTGTTGCGTTTCCATGTTAAAGATGCTTGTATATCCTTTGCTGAATGATGCTACCATATGGCTTGGGTCACTGCTCACTAGATCCACAGAGGCAGGGATTCCTAATTCTAAGAGAGTCAGAACATAGTCAGAGAATGGTGATTAGAGGGTCTACTTGAAAATGTCCTCATAAAATAGCAAAACAAACAGTCACAAGATTTCCTTAAGAATTGAAGAAGACTCAACATTAGAATAAAAATTAACTCATAGCCATTCAGTGGACATTATTTGTTACTTTTAGCCCTTATTTTGTTATTCTTACCTGTTCAGCAAGTCTTCTACCTGTTACTCAGCTAAAATATTCAAAGAATGCAGGCCTTTACTCAGAAAATAAATGGAAAACATGTATGGACTATAAGTTTTGTTGCTTCCACCTAACCGGAGGCTTAAACTGGCATGGTGGGAATTCTTTACTTTAAAAGCCCATCTCTTACTAGGAATTTTAATTCATCAAAAATATGGAATTAAAAAAGTAAAATTTCAAATTATTATTATTTTATGTAGAGTCATACAAATATAGATGCAGGCAACTCATCAAAACCCAGACACAAGTTATGACAGCTCAAAAATAAAGAAGGTATTTTTATCTATCACCTAGAATAGGGTAAAACTTGGTTAAACTTGGGAGTGTACTTACAAACAGAATAGAACGATACGTATGAATATAATCTTATCTTTTGATTTGGCTCAAAATCTAAAGTAAGCAAACAGTTCAAGAATGTGTATCTTACAGAAGAAGATAGATTAATGGCTAATGAGCACAGACAAAAAGTGCTCAAAATAATTAGCCACCAAACTAATGCAAATTAAAACCACAATGAAACACTGCTACAAACTCACCAGCATGGCTAAAACTAAACAGACTGACAACACCAGGTGTTAATAATTAAGGATGTAAAGCAACTGGAATTCTCATACATTGTTGTCAGTGGTGTGAAATGGCACAACCACTTTGGAAAAGCTTGGCAATTTCACATAAAGTTAAATACACAATACCACTTCTAACGCCCAGCAACTCTACTTCTAGCTCTTTATTAGCTCATAAAAAATACATGAATGTTCACAGCAGCTTTGATCGTAATAGTCAAAAACTGAAAACAACCCACATGTCCATCAAGAGGTAAATAAACACATACACTGATTTAATGAAATATTGGGAAGGACACAAAGAAACTTTGAAGAGGTGAAAGAAATGTTCTAGATCTTGATAGGTGCAAAAGTTACGTATTTTCAAACTCAACGGAACGTATCCTTAATACCTGGTTTTTACTGTATATAACTTATATCTCGATTTTGAAAAAACATTTTAACGTGTGCTCTTTCACCAAATACTGTGCTTTTAAAAATCATTAAGCTGGAAATTCAAGCAAATATACTTCCATTGCTTAAAAACACCCCTTCAGATTAAATTTAAACTAACAGTTTGTAGAATCGTTTATTCATTTGCTTGTTGTTACAATAAGACATCTTAAAAAGATTCATTAGAGGGGTGCCTGGGTGGCTCAGTTGGTTGAGCGACTGCCTTCGGCTCAGGTCATGATCCTGGAGTCCCTGGATCGAGTCCCGCATCGGGCTCCCTGCTCGGCAGGGAGTCTGCTTCTCCCTCTGACCCTCCTCCCTCTCATGCTCTCTGTCTCTCATTCTCTCTGTCTCAAATAAATAAATAAAATCTTTAAAAAAAAAAAAAAGATTCATTAGAGTAACTTTTAAAAAGCCTGTACCTTGATTATCGTTAAATACACTTAGGGCTGGAGCAACCTCAGTTGTATTCCATAAACGGAGAGTGCCGTCTGCTGAGCACGACAACAAGCGCTGATGGGCTGCACTGTAAGCCAAGCCCCAGACGGCATCGGTGTGGCCGAGGAGAGGGCCTCTTAACACAGAAGGATCTATACAAAACAGCAAGAATGCAAAATCAAGAGAAAATAAACAAATCCTAACGGTACTTAGATCTCAGAGAAACTAAATATACAGACAAAAGCGCCTGAGAACAGTATAAAACATGCTTCCTAGCTTCTGTTATTTTTCTGAAATGCTGCAGTAACTAAAAAGAGGCCTGGAAATATGCAAATGTAGAGTCTAGAGTTTATAAATTAAAGTTTTTAAGTATATATTTCTCTCCTTAAGAAAATTAGGTATTTCCCTCTCCCCTCCTTTTTTTCTTTCCACTTGTCTAGATTTTTTAAAAAAGCATGTTAACACACATCATTTGAATTTTATCCACCTTCAGAGAAGCCACAACTCTTCCCTGAGGAAGTGAACAGAGATCCCTTCCTCCCCTGGCTCCTTCGGGGCACTTCTCCCCCTGGGCCCCCATACTAGGGATGGTAGTTATTCCCAGGAGCAACGGGCCTCTGCTATTCCGAGTGGACAGGAACGGAGACCTAGAGGAACCCCCAAACCCTGCAGCAGCAATAACTGACATGTGAATGATGTGCATGAAAGGGAGGGAGGAAAGAGGAAGGGGGATCACTCAGCAGCACCATTTCATAATACAAGTCAAACTGGAAACTTTCCTTATTCCTCCGCGCAGAGACTCTATGAAGCAGTACTCTCAAGATGGCTCACACGTGTTGAGTTTAAAATGCCAGTAACGTTATCTGTCCTCTACCTTCTCTCTGTCATTCCATAAAATATTTATTGGAGACACAATGTGTCAGGGACTATGCTAGGTGCTGGCGCCACCCAGATAATTAAGACACAATACTATCCTGGTCTCAAAAGACATGTAGGTAAGTATAATAATGGTGACAGAGACACCAGTTTCCATGCAGGGTAACTGGGTGAGTGAAAGCCTCCCCGAGAGATGACACCTGAAGCATACAGGTGGCGGCCAAACACTAGAGGGAAGCCACCGCTGGCACAAGGACAGAAAGCATGACATGTCAGGGAATTTATGAGCTTATTCAGCCTTATCCAAGTGTGGAGTTTGAGGCAGGAAGCAGAGGAGAGGAGGGTAGCTAGTCTAAGGTGGGATTTCTACAACATATTAAGGTACTTGGAAATTATTCCGAAGGCAAAATGAACCACTGAAGGGTTTTCCAGGAGCAGCTGGGTAAAGTACGTATTTAGTAAGGTAACCTTCACTATAGTGTAGAAGACAGATTGGAGAGAATGAAGATGAAGGCAGAGGGACTGCTTCAGTAGACTGGGAGAGTGATGATGTAGACCCAAGAGAGGGCAGTGGTAAAAGGGGCAAAGCAGAAGGGGTAAATCCAAGAAAGAGTTAGGGGGTAGTATCAAAAAGACGAGGTAATTAATAAGGTGTGGATAGTAAACAGAACAAGGCAACAAGGATAACTCTTAGGTTTCTAGTTTGGGTAATTTTGGTGGTGCCACCATCTAATAAAGAATATATGGGAGAAGAAACACAAAACTGATTCGAATTTATGGGCAATGAGATGGCCACTTTGAAAGGTTCTGTAGGCTTAAAGAAGAGATTTATGAGTCAACAGCATGTAAAACCATAGAAGTAGATTCAGTTTACAAAAAAATATGTGTACAAAGCAAAGAATGAATAGGGTCTGGACCTTGATAAATGCCAGTATCTAAGGTGGGAAAAATAAAAGTTCATGAAGGCTAGGAAACAAATTGTCACAGACTTAAGTGTCAAAAAAAGCCAATAGCAGACAAATTTCAAAAAGGATGGAGTGGTCTACAGTTTCAGAGAGCCAATACATCTAGTAAAACAAGGACTGTAAAATACCCCTTGGATCAGCCAATTGGGTAGTCACTGACAATCTCGTTATATTTAAGTGGGATAGCCAGAAGACAGAATGCAGATGGATGATGCACAGGAAAAGGACACGGAATTAGTAACTCCTGTGTTTTCTAGTCATTACCACCAAAGAGACACAGATGGTAAAGGAAAGAGAGACTAAACTAAGACACCAGAAAGGAAAATGGAGTCAAGAAAAGGCTTTCCCTTGCTCAGGATCGGAGTTACCTATATTTACTTACATGCTGAAGGGATGGAAAGAGAGAAAAGAGGGCAAGGTTTAAGATAAGAATGAGAAAGAGCAAGAGTGGGAGAGAATCAAATGCAATCTCAAAAGAAACGAGAGAATGAGGTCAAGAGCAAAAGGGGAAGGGTGGGTTGGCTTGAGACAGAATGAAGACAACTGATCCTCTTGATAGAGAGATAAAGGAAGTAAGGAAAAACATGGAGAGGGTTTACCTTTCACAAAATATATGTTAAATGCTTATTAAATAAATGTTGGGAAAAATTTTTGTTCATTGATTTTCTTCTCTTTACTTAGGTTTGTAATAAAATTAATCTAAAGTGAAAATGAAAATAAATGTGGTTTTAGGACAAATATGACACTCCACACCATTCTAGAATTTAACAAAGAACATAAAAGGAAACCAAAATAGTTAATTCCTCAATAGTTTTTGCAAAAGAATTTATGGTAACATCTAGTGATAGATTATAATGTGGATTTATGTTTCATTATACTATTCCCAAGACTAAAAGGGCACTTCTTAATTTTTAAGGCCTTTCAAGTATTCTGGTGTCACAGAGTTTAAAAAATCATTAGCCTCTACACACTCCAATAATAAATGAACATTCATTTTCCTTCAGTTGTTTGTCAAGAATAGTAATGAATGTGTAGTAACAGTAATGAAACATGATTACAGATTAGTAATAATGTATCAAGTAATGTACAGATGCCTAAAATGAAGAAAAAAATTGTTAATCAGGCCAGCATTTCCAATCAATCGAACTTTGGGGGGGGGGCAGGAACTGTTTTTTCAGGAATAACACATTCTTTTCTTTTTTCCAGCATATAAATATCAAATTATTTCCTAAATACAAGAGTCCTTTTTAACAAAATAAAGACCTTGTTCCCTATTACCAATTTACTTTTTTAAAAATCTCATTTTATCCTTATATATGCTATGTAAAATGTGTAAAAAGAAAATTTATTCTTTCATATCTTCAGGGAAACACCTACCATAGGAGTCATAGGGATCGATGTTGGGGTTGGTGGTATTCCAGCCCTGGATCAGTCCGTCAGCACCACCACTGTAACACTGCTCACCACTGCTGCTCATTACCACACAAAGCACTGGACCTCTGAGAGATAAAAATCAATTTCTATTCCCAAAAGTCAATCTGATACTAGGACTCGTTAGAAATAAGAATGCTTAATTATTCATATGGCTTTCTATTTTTCTGCTTTCTACGATGAATAAAAATAGTATAAAAGCACTGCTCATTTTTCTTCTTCTGCTAAACCAGAGATTGGTAAACTATGGCCTGTGGGCCAAATCCAGCCAGTGGTCTGTTTTTATACAGTCCTCAAGCTAAGAATGGTTTTTACATTCTTTAAGGGGTTATAAAACTAAGCTAAAAACAAGAATATATAACAGAAAATACATGGCCTACAAAGCTGAAAAAGTATTTACTATCTGACCCTTTATATAAAAAATATGCCAATCTCTGTGCTAAATCAAGTGAATTAGTTTATTTCTTAAGCTTACCTGGAAATATGAAAAGCATGCAATATGTGGTCATAATTTAAAAATTCTCCATATTTTTATCTAGATTATCTTTAAGGAAAAAAAAGTCCCAATTTTTAATATCTAAACCTTACTGCATCAACTTATTTTAAGCATGAGATATATAACACTTAAACATCATCCAAATAAAATCTAATTTCAGCAAGGATCTATGGTAGTGATAAACTTGGTTTTAACACTGTATTATCTTTTTTACATTTACCAAAAAAGAAAAAAAAAAGAAAAGCCAAAACCCCTCCCCAAAACCACTACTAAATACAAAAAATATATAACACAAATACTTAAGTGAAAGAAAATAAAATACTCTAATCAGGCTGATGTACAGTGATGCTGACTTAGAGAAAAAGCACATACTTACTTATGAGCCCTGAATGTATAGATAGGCTCCACATCAAGAGAAGTACTCCTAAATCAGAGAGAGGGAGAGGACTTTTACCACTCCAAGTTTCAGTAGTAAACAGTATCAATGGATATATGCCACAAAATTGCCTTTAGGAATTAGTATACTGTTCTCAGCCTAGGACACTTAAGAAAGCTTACCTGACCCCAATCACATATTTTTGTGGCCTCAAGAAACAAAATCCTTATTTAGTAACAATACCTGCTTATAGCGCTCTTAGCATTGTCATATCTATTTGACTATTTGAGAGAGCCAAACTCAGAGAACATCATGGGATTTGAGGAGATACATTTCCGGATTCAATTAACTGGCTAACTCCAGGCAAATTATTTATTGTTTTGGAACTTCAGATTCCTCTCTATTTAAAATAAAACAGAAAAATTGGGATAACACCAAATACTCACAGGATTAAATGAAATTCTACAAGTCAAACAGTCTAGGAAAGAACCACGAACATAGTAGGATTTCAATAAATGGTACTTGAATTTCTTTGCATTTCCATCAAGGCTAATATGTCTGACCTCAGGATACTTGTAAAAATTGTCCAAGTCATCAGTTTATTCATTATTCAGAACACTGAATGTATAGATAGTCTACACTGCCTAATATTTAAACTGGATTTAAAGTCAATTACCATTTCTTATATTGTATTACAGTTTTTTTTATAGGCATATGATTTCTCTCCTCAAGCATTTCCAAAATGTTAAGCTCAAAGGTAAACAGGCCATGTTATTACATGTGAAGGTATTATTACTAAGCTATCACCAGCAAGATACTTGTTTCAATATGTCTCTAAGTTTTAGTCAAGACTATATGAGACATTCACATTCCCTGATCTAAAGAGATGCCCATTGTGACCAGAGAACTAGAAAGACAAAAGGCACAATTTATAACTAAGAAATAATTTTTCTTTGCTGAAGATACCTGATCCATATGAGGATTCTCTTGGTTTTAGCAAGATCTGGTTGAGCTATCTGATGCAGACTGATAAATCAAGTATTTTATCTAGTCCATGTATGACTCACAGTGGGAATGTCACTGATCTCTTTTAAACTTGGCAATAGATATCCTCTATCAGTAGTAAAACTTCTGTAATCTCTTCCAGTTCATGTTCACTTCTACTCTTCCAATAACTGAAGTGCCTGACACTGGAGAAGGGCCCATGCTGGGTTCTGGGCCACCTGATTCAAGGACACAAGGAGAGGGACCTCCAGTAAGCACCCCACCAAGTGGGGCTAAGACTAGCTTGGTGACTGATAAGAGTTTATACCAACTCGTGTCTGCTCATGCTTAGAGAGGAACCAAGGGGCCAAGGCAAGAACTAGCAGTTAAGTGACAGCAACAATAGTACCTTCCATCTATACATTTTGGTGGGTATGGAAAGTACCTAAAGGGACAAGGCCAAATGACAAAACCAAAGAGGTCCCTCACCCCTCTCCATCAGCCTTCCCTCCCTTCCACATGGTAAATCCAAACCTAATAAGCAACAGGACAGGGATGGGGTGGGGTTTGATGATTTTAAACATGCCTGCACCTCTTTACAACCAGAGTAGAAACCTTCGGTATAGATAAGGGACTCCGCAAATATGACAACCATTTAAAACACTGTATAAGGACTGTAAATAGCATTCAGAAACACTGGGAAACTATCAGATAATACATTTCTCTCTCAGTGTCAGTTTTCCAACCTACTATCAGATTTTGAGTATGAAGGGAAAAATTCTAATTATGTGACATGGTAAAGAAGAAAAAACTAAAAGGGATACTTGATAAATTGAGAAATTTAATAGCAAATAATTTAAGTATTTTTCTGCTGAAAACTGATAATTAAAATACTCAAATACAGTTAAAGTAGAATATTCTCACTTTTTGGCTGGGGCTGTTTTCTGCAAATTCCACATTTTCAGTGTGTGATCCTCTGATGCTGTTATCAAAACAGGCTCAATGGGGTGGAAAGCAAGGGCTCGAATGCCATCAAAGTGACTTCGTAATGTAAACTTAGGGTTCCATGTCTTCCTCAGTGCATCTTTATTGTTTGCTATCTTTAAAGAAACAAAAGAAAGACACCCATACATTTAGTTCAGGACAGGAAAAAAATTATATTTTCACATTAATTCTTGCTGATTTGTCATTAAATCATCACATTTTGCAACTTTCAAAACAATATAATTTCTAAATGTAAATAATCAAATCAATAGGCAAAATTAATAATATGTCAACCAAAAGTGGTTTTCTTTGAAGAAATATGAATGCTATAACAAGAAAACAGGTAACATAATTCAATAGAAAGAATATTAACATAAAATAGATCTTCACTAGGATGACTAAAAAAAAACAAAAGACAAATAATTTTCAACCTAAATCATAGTATAGAAACTAATTTGGGTTAAGAGCTGAAAAACTAAGTTACCTTTAAACTTGTTAACATTATAGAATATGATCATACTGCTGAGATTGTCAATACTTCCTACAAAGAGCTAAATTTTCATCAAATTGGCAACAAGGTTTATAAACTGGAAACATAAAATGTTAACACTGAAAGAGATAATCGGATGTCATAAAACAATAGATTCCACTTGTAAAACACATCATGTTGCTTTTCTCCACAGAAACTCCATCCCAGCAACTAAAAAATGCACTTTTTTTCTCATTCCAACTATATTCCAGCTTTTTTTTTCATTTCCAACTAACGGGAAAACCAAAGAGGTTCATGTTTAACCTTACACTAGCACCACATATGAACTTTTCACACTCCACAGCTAATAATCATGCCAGGTTTAAGCAAGAGTGGGGCAAGTACTGTTAACACACTGGAGAAATATTACCATATTTACAATGACAAAAACCAGCAACGATACTAACAATTGCTGCTATTATAAGCATTATTCATTATTTTATACATTTTTTTAAAACTTAACATGCATTAATTAACTCACTTAACTGTCACAACAACTCTATGAAGGAATTAACATTATCCCCACTTTACAGATAGTTAGAAGTGACTTGCATAAAGAAAAAAGTTAAGTGACTTGCCCTCTAGTAAGAGGAGTCGTCAGGATTCAAACCCAAGCAGTCTGGCTTCAGAGGCTACTCTTAATATAAACTAACTTAGGACCCAGAAGTTTAAAAATTTGCAGAAAACTTTGGATAGAGCATGTCATAATTGGGTCAGTAAGGAGACAAAATACAGGATACAAGGAACTACTATAAGAATTAGTGCTGGTTATCCTTGTGGAGGAGGCAGGGGGAGAAGTGGAATTAACTTTGACTCTTCTCTGCTCTTATTAATGAGCTGAAAGATTTTCATATGTAAGAACAATTCCATTCCTTCTGAATGTCTTAATGTGGTAGACAGCCACTAAGATGGTTCCCAATCAGCCTCACCTCCTCATATTTACACCTTGTGAATCCCCTTCTACATCATAGGGTTGCTCTGTGTGACCAGTAACACACACCAAAAACCTTGCATCCTGGGTGTTCTTGCTCACTCTCTTTTCAAGGGCACTCACACTGGGGGAAGCCAGCTGCCCTGCTGAGGAACCCACAGAGAGGCCCATGTGGTGTGGAACTAGTCTCCAGCCAATAGCCAGGAAGGAACAAAGGCCTTCCAACAACCACATGCATGAGCTTGGAAGCAGATCTTCCCCAAGTCAAGTCTTCATTCAAGACTGCAACTCTTGCCTACATCTTGACTACAACCACCTGAGAGACCAGAACCGCACAGCTAAGCTGTCCCAGATTGCTAACCCCCAGAAACTATGATCTAACAAATGTTGTTTTAAGCTGTGTTGGTACAATTTGTCACACAGCAATAGATTAGTAGTATGTGAATTAGAACTGGAAACTACTTGCAGGGCGCCTGGATGGCTCAGTTAAGCATCTGATCCCAGACGGTCCTGGGATCGAGTCCCGCATCAGGCTACCTGCTCAGCATGGAGCCTGCTTCTCCCTCTGCCCTTCACCCCACTTGTGTTCCCTCTCAAATAAATAAATAAAATCTTAAAAAAAAAAAAAAAAAAGAACTAGAGACTACTTTAAGAAATGCAGGTATAACACTAAGTTTTTTTTTTTTTTTTAACAACTGAGAGATAGTAAAAAAAAAGAGAGGGAGAATGACATTTCTCTAGAGACATGACTGAGTTCCATAAGTTATTGGACTAAATCTTTGTGAGGTTAGTATAGAGAGAACAAAAGTATCTAATGGGAACTTCTGCTTCTAGCTAAGATGGGCCAGATCATTAGGATCAAGTCTGCACTTGAGGACAAGTAGAAAAACAGAGCTAAAAATTTTTAAATGAAGAACCAGCAAAATAGTGAAGAAAAAGCAGACGAGAATCCAGGGGAAGAGAGAAGTCTAAAAAGCCTGATATTTGGACTTTTTTTCCCAGAGGGAGTTTACTGATTTCAGAGGGGAAGGCTGAGAGGTCAGGCTATGCTTCTGACAGCTGTGCAGTGCAAGGAGATACAAACCAGGGCCTACCAAGAAAGTGGGGCTTGGTGAACCTCCTTGCTCTGGGTTTTGAGTTCAAAGGGCTGCATTCTTTTTTTTAAGATTTTATTTATTTATTTATTTATTTATTTATTTATTTATTTATTTATTTATTTGCGAGAAGAGAGGACAAGCAGAGGGAGCAGTAGAGGGAGAAGCAGGCTCCCCACTGAGCAGGAAACCTGATGCGGGGTTCAATCTCAGCTCCCTGGGATCCTGACCCGAGCCGAAGGCAAACACCCATCCAACTGAGCCACCCAGGCGCCCCTGGGCTGCATTCTAGATAGAAGAGTTAACTAGAAGAATACAAGCCCTTACAGAGACTGTAGATCAGTTCAGATTACCTGAAAAATTGAAAATGGAATGAGATGATCCAGATTTCTAGTGGCTACAGACATCTGACAGAAGCAAATTAAAATACACTCCCTGAGGGAAGATATCACTCTAGGCCTGAAGTTATTTCTACAGACAACTTTTCAGGTATAGTTATTTGGACATAATAAAAAGTAACCATGCCTATGCAGGGCAATACAGCATAAATGAAAACAAGCAGATACATAATCATGCTTACTGTGTTCAAGAAGATAAAAGACAACACTGTAAATTATGAAAGAAATCTATAAACACTTAAAAAAAAGAATTCTGGAAGCAAACAATATCAGACCTAAATAGATGGGTTTAATTACAGATTACACGTAACTGAAGTGAGAATTAGCAAACCAGAAGATGGGTCATAAAAACATCTAGGCTGAAGTATGGAGAAACAAAAGATGGAAAATACAGGGAAGGGAGTAGGAGACAGAGGGTACAGAAAGATCTAACAATTAGCGTTCCAGAAGGAAAAGAAAGAGAAAGAAGTGCAAAAGCAGTATTTGAAGATAAATGGCTCAGAATTTTACACTAAACTGATAAAAACATATTAAGCCAAGAAGGTCTAAGAACTTCAAGAAGGTTAAATGAAAAGAATCTAAACATTGGCTGACATTCAAGACATAGGGAGATTATTAGAGAAAATACAAAATCAGACTACCACTGAATGACCAGTAATAGACAGTTAACTTTAGCAGAAAACAACAATGGAAGAAAATGAAATTATATATTTAGAATGCTTAAAAATGAAAGAAAATAGAACAAAACCCTTGCCAAATGGAATTTGATACCAGAAGTAATAGTTAACCCACTCAGGCGAAATACAATTTAATAAAACCAGAAACTGAGGGAACTGGGTACCAGCAGACCTTCACCAAAGAGAAATATTAACTGCTCTTAGAGTAAAAGAAAAGTGATGCCAGATGGACAGTCAGATGTGCAGGGGGGAATAAAGCAAAATGAATAATGTAAAATGGATAATCCTAACTGAATACTGAGTGTACAAAACATAAGGAGATAAGTGTCTAGAGAAAATACATAACAAGAATGACATACATGTAGGGTAGGAGTTTTTTTGTTTTTAAGATTTTATTTATTTATTTGACAGAGAGGGCGAGCACACACAAGCAGGGGTGTGGCAATCAGAGGGAGAGGAAGAAGCAGGCTCCCCACTGAGCAGGGAGCCTGATGCAGGGCTCAATCCCTGGACTCCGGGATCTTGACCTGACCTGAAGGCAGATGCATAACCAACAGAGCCACCCAGGCGCCCCAAGGGTAGGAGATTTTAAGTAGAGTTATAAGTGTCCTAAAGGTCTTTGCATTAAAATTTTGATAAGGATGTGTGTGGTAATCTCTAGGGTAACAATAAAAAGAGTAATGAAAGAGTGCATCATCTCCAAATAATGGGGTGGGGGTGAATAATGAAAAATAATCCCAATACAGGCAAAAATAGGAGAAAAAGGAACACAGAATAGGTAGCACAAATAGATGGTGGACTTAAATCCAAATATATCAGTAATTACTTTAAAAAGAAATGGACTCGGGCACCTGGGTGGCTCAGTCGGTTAAGTGACTGCCTTCGGCTCAGGTCATGATCCTGGAGTCCCTGGATCGAGTCCCGCATTGGGCTCCCTGCTCTGCAGGGAGTCTGCTTCTCCCTCTGACCCTCCCCCCTCTCATGTGCTTGCTCTCTCTCATTCTCTCTCTCTCAAATAAATAAATAAAATCTTTAAAAAATAAATAAATAAATAAAAAGAAATGGACTCAATGCTCCAACTAAAAAGGTGTCAAAGATTAGATGAAAAAACAGAAGTCAACTAAATGGGTGTTTTTATACACACAGACATAAAACATAAGGATATAAGAATAGAAAAAAATTTTTTTAAAAGCCTGTATCACATATGTGGAGAATGGGGAGCAAAGAGACCATTTAAAATAGGTTATTGTAGTGGTTCCATGTGAAGAAGAAATGGAGTTGGATGGGAGGTAAAAAACAAAAAACAAAAAACAAAACCAAACCTATAGATTTTAGCTATTTTTGGAGGGAGAACCCAAAAGACTAATAGCCTTAGCAAGAAAAGTGAGAATTTTTGATTTGCAGGAAGAGAAGTGAGTGGTGAGGTTGCTTTTTGGGGTACTCCCTTCTCATATCCATGGTCTGCTTAAGCGTTCTTCCTACATCCCCCATGTGGCAGGAGCTATACTGTGTTCTCCAATGAAGATAATGAGGTATCAAAGTTGAGAGGATTTAACGAAGATTAAGACAGATTGTAAACACTTTATAAAATAAGCAACTGTTTTTCTGACAATTTATTATCATGAACAATTATAAATGTATTTATAATTGTGTTGGGTATTAAATAAAGGGATGCATGAATAAGGTATCAAGATCTCAGTTTTGGTCCAAAAATCACTGATGGGTCTGCCTTAACATCTGAAAAGCACCCTACAGACATCCCTGCCTAACAATAGCTAAAATCATTTGTAGATAGGATATTCACAGATAATGTACTAAAGAAGAAACACAAATGTTGCCACTGGGCAAGCATGAATTTCAACTGATCACTGGTACCCTAAAACACAAAACCCAAACTTGGTAACAGAAGAATTTTTTTCCCTTATCTAAAACCAATAAACAAGCTATAATGACTTATCGATTTAGGCAAAGCCCATAATGTTAATCTCTATGCAATGTGAAAAATATGATCATTTACAGAATATATTCATATTTTCAAAGTTTCCAATTAAAATGGAACCAAATTCTAGACTTGTGAATAAGTTTGACCACTGTCTTTTTCTATAAAGTTAACTTTTTACTTTTAAGAAATAAGAAAAGAACAAAAATAAAATCATGACTCACATCATAAGTTAGTGAATCTGCTTCATTGGCCACCGTAAGGCCTGCCAATTCTCCAAGTCCCAGTTCACTTTCAAGGGCTTCATCTGCTCCCATGATAAAGGACTTCCCAGAAGAAGGAGGAAAGGTCAGTGCTTCCACTGCAGGGGGAAGACAAAAGAAACATAAAAAACCTCTGAAGTGTAAACAATTAGTCTCATAAAGACATGTCTACATTTATTCTTAAATGCTTTTTAAACACAATAAAATTCGGTTAGAAAGCTCTGAAGAACTAGCTGCTTTTTTTTTTTTTATTCTATTTATTTATTTGAGAGAGAGAGAGAGAACACACACGTGCATAAGCCAGGGGAGGGTCAGAGGGAGAAACATACTCCCTGCTGAGTGCAGAGCCCAACAAGGGGCTCGATCCCAGGAGCCTGAGATCATGACCTGAGCCAAAATCAAGAGTCAGGTGCTTAACCGACTGAGCCACCCAGGCGCTTCAGAACTGGCTGCTTTTTCTGTATCTTAACCATAACTAAAGGTATCATCTAATTAGAAAAGCACAACATGTAACAAATCCAACAGACCACTGTCCTTTCTTTTTCACAAAAAAAATACAACTTAAAAAAGTAGGCTTTCCTCATTTGATATTTCTTGTTAATTACCCAAATTATTTCTATCAGTTATTAAATATATGTAACAAGCGATCTGAACACTGCTGGTCTCATTCAAAATAAGACATTAATTCTACAACCTGGAAGAATACAGAAAATTTCAAATGAAAATGGGTACAACTGTAAAATGTGCCTTTAGGAGGCAAAGTTAATGCTGGCATTAGAAGCCAGGATTATGACTGGAGGCAGGGAAGGAGCAGTGATCTGAAGCGCACGCAGGACTTCCAGGGCCCGGGTAGTGTTCGGCTTGCTGACTTATAGGCCGAGGTAACACGGCTGGGTTCACTTTGGGATAATTCACTAAGCAGTTTTCTGCCAGTATGTTGTAGTTCACTTTTTTAAAAGGGTTTGTTTCAAAAAAAATTTTTTTTCATTGTAAGTGGATTTTCTTTTCAAAGAAATTTTTAAAATAAAGTGTCCATTTGAACATTTTCATTAGCCAACTGCGCTTCAAGAGGCCGTTTCTTTGCGATAAGTGAAAATATCTTGACTTTATAACACTGAACAAGCCAATCCAATTCCTTCAATCACCATCACAGAAGAACCAGTTAAAAGCAAAATGCCAGATGAAAACAGGAATTTAATTTGGTCAACAGTAAATTGTTGATTTTTATAAATGCAGATTATTCTAGCAAACTGTCAGAGGTGGTCTTTGGGCAGTTTTTGAGAGGTGGTTACTTTACTGATGACAAACATTTGTAAGTTGATTACATGAATTTAGTAGTTTAAACTAAGGCTGTTAAAAAAAGTAAATTAACTTTTTCTTAAAAGAAACAAGTCAAGGGGCGCCTGACTGGCTCAGTCAGTTAAGTGTCCTCCAACTCTTGATTTCGGCTCAGGTCATGATCTCAGCGTCGTGAGATCGAGCCCCATCATACTGGGAGTGGAGCCTGCTGGAGATTCTCCCTCTCCCCCTCTCCCCGCTTGTTCTCCCACTCTCCCAAGAAAAGAGGAAAGGAGAGGAGAGGAGAGGAGAGGAGAGGAGAGGGGAGGGGAGGAGAGGGGAGGGGAGGAGAGGGGAGGGAAGGAAGAAAGACAAGTCAGTTAATTAATGGAAAAAACTGGACTTAAAGGTGCTTTTCAGCTTTCGATTCAATTATGTAAGTTTAGATTCAATCATAAGTATTTGTTGAAATGAAAGAATAGTTACGGGTTTTAAAAATAGTAGAGGCAGACACTCTACTTAAAATCCTTTAAGAACAAAGGAGACTATAAATTAAGACATTTTTAAACCACCATACAATAAAGCAGCAATAATAAAAATGGGTTTTACCCAAACATACCACATATCTTCTGAGAGGTTTGAACAACTCTAACATTTACTACCGAAGAGTGGGGACTGTTTAAGTTAGAATGGCAATTTTCATGCCAAAATTTCAACAAAAAGACTCACATGAGACTATGAGGCTGGGTCTTCAGCCAGGTATTTTGTTTGCTTTCATCTCTACTGTTTCGACAACTTTGTTCAGGTGTGAAATAAAAATGATTCTTAAAAAAACAAGACTAAGATTCATGGGATTTGAGCATACACACTGTTGGGGCTAATTTAAATAATGCTCTAAAAATGACCAAGTAGGGCGCCTGGGTGGCTCAGTTGGTTAAGCGACTGCCTTCGGCTCAGGTCATGATCCCAGAGTCCTGGGATTGAGTCCCACATCAAGCTCCCAGTTCAGCGGAGAGCTTGCTTCTCCCTCTGACCCTCTCCCCTCTCATGCTGTTTCTCTCTCTCAAGTAAATAAATAAAATCTTAAAAAAAAAAAAAAATGACCAAGTAAAACCTGAAAACAAAGGAAGGCAGCAACTCCTTCCACCACACACCACCGGCTAAGCCACCCGACCTGAGGGCCCGAGAGAGAGCGACCATGGGCAGAACTCACTTGACTGCTCTCTAAGATGCCCTAGAACTTAAGACTATACATCACATTTCTATCTGGTAACTAAACATTACTAGCTCTAATCAGCTCTAATCAAATTATTGAACTGTGCCTCTTAAGTATGGCACTATTTTCTGAATTATTAAAACAAAAATAAAGTAATAAACATTTATAGCACACAAAGGCTATGGACTCATTTTCTGAAACTAAACTGGAGGCCAAGAAGCATCAGTCACAGACAATTAAATACACAATGTATTTCTTACAGGGGCGCCTGGGTGGCTCAGTCGTTAGGCGCCTGCCTTCAGCTCAGGTCATGATCCCAGGGTCCTGGGATCGAGCCCCTCATCGGGCTCCCTGCTCAGCGGGAAGCCTGCTTCTCCCTCTCCCGCTCCCCCTGCTTGTGTTCCCTCTCTCGCTGTCTCTCTCTCTCTGTCAAATAAATAAATAAAATCTTTTAAAAATAATAATAAAAAAATTAAAAAAAAACAACAACAATGTATTTCTTACATACTTTTTCTATTGCTGAAAACCTTACACTGAGGAGGAAAGGTTAGGACAACCAATGTTACAGACAGTAAGCTAGATAGTCAACCCTTCAGTTTTAAGATTCTTAAATATTTTTTTTCTTTCAAGGGCACTTTCTGTGGCTTATGTAATGCTTTTCTACATTTATCATTCAGTATATAGTACTTAGTCTACCTCTATTATTAGAATTCTGTAAGGTGAAATCTCTGATAAAACTCTTTAGGAGTTATCAGAATAAAAGAAGAACTAACTTTTCTCCTTATCTGGACCTCATCTTGGAATAATTGAAACTGATTAAAAATTCTCACATTGATAGTGTCAACTGTCACTATCTCCTAGTGAACAACAAACATACCTAATGAGGCCCATTACTTCACATCTTTCATTCAAAAGACATGTCTACATCAAAGAAATTGTACATTTAGACTATAAAGGTGTAATGTACACGTCTTCATTATTTAATGTATGAGTAATAAATTCCAAATGTACTATAATTAACTCTAACAAATAACTAACCATGTTACGGTCAAAAATTTCATTTAAAAAGTACTCCAACCATAAATCTGTCCATCAAAGTTCTATCAGTTTATGTCTCTTTAAAATGTAACTGAGTTTAAAAACCAAGAAAGAAAAACACCTAATGATTTTTCTGTGGCTTTTTCCTGGGCTGTTTTGTTCAATCAAAAATAATTTAAAGAGGCATATTCACTGCAAATAATTATAGTATTTAAATTCAAGACAATTTTAAAAAATAAATTTTGAAAAATATTTATTAATCATTAATATTACTTTTATGTCCTACTGGATTTTCAGCTACTGTAAATACATATATTAAAATCAATTTCTACATATAGGCAGATAAATCAGAACATGTATCTAAAAGACACCTAAGATGGTGCTATAAAAAACTAGGAACCTAAATTTCCAACAGGGAAATGGTTAAGTATCAAGTCTAAAATACAAATATGTAATCTTAAAGTTATAATTATGAAAGTTATTTTTGTGGCTTTATGTTTAGTGAATAAAACAAAATGGGATTATTCTACTTGGGGACTATAACTTTGTAAAAAAAATAATACACATTTGGACAAGGACTAAAAGGGAAGAAAGTAAAAACAGAAAGCAGAAAATGTGACTAGACTTTCAGGTGTCTTTTTTCCTTTTTTCATTTATCAGTGACAAACTGCTTAAATAAAACATTTGAAAATATTTATGAGTCTCAGAGTAAACATTTACTACCTATTTATGCTTTTGTACATAAGTACAAAAAGTACAAAGTGAAGTAAAAAGTAAAAGTACAAAGTAAACATTTACTACCTATTTATACTTAATTTTCGCATTGTTGCAATGGGATAAATAAAACAGCCTATGTATACCAAATACATGGCTCCTGTGGAGCCAGGGGATGTTCTAAACTAGAATTCAGAGTTGGTCTTTAAGTTTATGCACCCTTTCTTAAGTCTAAAAGACTGAAGCTGGAATCAAATTCTCTTGAATGTAAGAAAGCCTACTTTTGGGGGATACTATGTAGATCAAACATCTGTAAAATAAAATTCTTTTCTTAAAGAGTCGTTCTGAATAACTGAACTTATATATGTATATCCCCATACTTTTTGTGCTCTAGTGTGTCTTTTTTTTTTTCTTATGAGGAGAGGAAGGGGGGCGCAGAGGGAGAGGAAAAGAGAGAATCCCAAGCAGGCTCCACACCCAGCATGGAGTCTGACACAGGCAGGGCTCAATCTCACAACCCTGAGATCATAACCTAAGCTGAAATCAAGAGTCGGACGCTTAACCGACTGAGCCACCCAAACACCCCCAGAGGTCTTACATACTTACCTTCATCTGCCCTATTTATTTCGTGTTCAGGAAGCCTGGAGCTGGTGGGCCTGGAAGGTGAACCCACAGATGGCTGCAATGAGGGAAGTTCATCAACATCTCTCAAATTAGCAAGCATATCTTGTAGTTTTGACCTATTGGGCCCTAGCCCAAAAACAGGGAGGAAGAGAACAAAAAAGAAGAGAATTATTCCACTGCATCAAAATGGTGCCACAAACCTTATTCACATCTACCTACATTCAGCTCTAAAACTACCCTACCATATTAAAAAATAATTACTTTCCAAGTTTTCAAATTATTTTAAAAGTTTATTTCTTGAGAAGAATTATGTTTTACATATATTTTAAAAATTAAGCTAAAGGAATAATATTGCTATTTGCATGAAAAACAATGTTCATGTGCAGTTTGAACCATTAAAAATCATATTATTCTATAATCCTTGTATATTACTCTAAATGCAGACAGATACCATGGATTGTGAAGCTACTGTGTATTGCATTAAACAATAACATCCCTTTTTGTTTGTCTGTTTATGTTAAGTTGCATTCATTGCCTTACATCCTGAAACTATGGTACCCGAGGTGAAATCTCATGCCCTACTGATCACTTACCTGAGCTTTGATTCTTCATTCTCCCACATCCCTGTTTTGACTGTTTTATATAGGATAGAGGCTGAAACAGATCTTCGGTAGTTTTTCCTGTTACAAGTTTAATTAAGAATGGGAAAATCTTACCCATAGTCCATTATGGTTTTTTTTCCTATACCAGCAAAGAATACAACTACTTTTAAGCAATTTTAACTAATACCTAGAAATATATTTCAAGACAGTATGATTGGAGTACACAATTTGACTGGAAATATTTCTACTAGACCATATCAAAAGGACTTGATCAAACTTTTCCAATGAGTAATTTTTAATTCAATTAAAAATATTTATGGTGGTTTATAAATCCATGCTTTATATATCAAGTCAAAGCTTTGCTTCAGTTCTGTTTTTATGTCTTCACTTGTTCCCAGATCACCATTTTATTAAGACATGAACTGACAGCAATAAACAAAATGTCCTGAGCCTCACTCTGCAGTCCTTCTATCCTCAATGAAACACATTAAAATTTCTCTCCCTGCAGTCATTTTTCTTCATCATGCAAAAAAACCATGTGCTATATGCCTGCCTAGTGATCATAATCCCCAGTCAGGAAATCCAATAGCTTCCATTAGTAGGAATACTGTTCCAGTCAAATGGTGCCATTTTAGATCTTAAGTGCTAAATTCCAACTACAGCAATGCCTTGATATTTGACAAGAACTGAATAATCAATATAATAGTAGGTGGATTCTACATAAGACCTAGATATCCTTCCAACTGAGAGATGTTTTACATTTGAAGACATTCATTATTGCAGCATAAGGACTTAAAGAAATACCAACTTTAAGCCAATCTGAAAATTAAAATATTCTTTCTCATTTATGATATTTGCATTAAAATTTCAGTATAACTGGTTTTGCCATGGTCTGCAAAGTCGTAATAAAGCATGTCTCATTACTGTTTAAGACTGAATTTTTTATCCATACATTTGGATAAAAGGTACAAAACGCTCTTAGGTTTTAATATTAATTTTTCTCACTGTGATTTAATTTATATGGAGGAGGTATCAAAGAACATCATCTCAGTTATGTAATAGTTGGTATAATGATAACATCAAAAATAGTCACTGACTTTTTATCCATTCAAGCTAAATACTTGTAACACCTAAAATATTTTAAATAAAGATTTAAATGTTTATCAGTAATGACTACACTACTTTTTCCAACTTTTAAATATATGTTTCACTAAACTGGATTTTCATCTTACTTTACACTACTTTAATATCCCAAAGGATGCAATTCCTTTTGCCATAAAAGGGAAACCCATGTTCATATTGTCAATGAGAGTGGAAGCACAGGAGGTAGTTTAGCCTTGCTCTCCTAAAAAGGTGTTTTAGATGGTGTTCAGGGATGTTTGAAAGACTTTGTATTTCCACTTTACTTTAATTAGTTCTACTGCTAAACCTAATAATTTCTATAATGAGTTTTATGTATATATGATTCACAGGGCTAGCAATTTCATTTTAGCTTCCATTTTTGATATGGTAGACATCTTATTAAAAAAGAAAAAAGCTAACTGGTCAAAATTTTTAAATTAGAAAATAAATCCTTTTAAAAGTTGTGTATTTGACTCTGTGCCCTGTATAGCATATAGTGGTGAAAGCAAATGAACTGTTATGAACACAGAGAATATTCAGGGGTAGAAATTAACTTTGTCTCCAAGTCCAAAAATAATATGCAATAATTTGGGTGGATTGCCAGAGGGTCATACTAGATGAGATTTAAAATTGTCAACAGTGAAAAATCATTGTGATAATTAAGTATATATACTTTAAAAATGAAATTATCACTATGTTTTGAATATATAGTCCCACACTCTCATGAGGCTCTAGATGTATTATTGAGATATATTATGGTTCCATAATCATATGCATGGCTGTTTTTATTTTTTTAAGGTCATACTCAAAGAGCTAACCATTTAATTTCAACCCCTGAGAGCAGGTGAAAAGGAAAGAGATCAGAAGCAGAAAAGAAAATGAGTAAGTGGTTTTAGGAAAACATTGGGAAAAAAAATTGGGGATATAAAAGAGGCAAGTTTTATGATTTACAGATACAATGTTTTCCACTTACTCTTCACCCCCTTTTTCCCCTTTCTCTCCTTTTTGTATTGTTCCTTGAGTTTGGTAATTACTCCCTGGTCCACATTCCAGGCTTCAGGCATGAGACACTGGTCTTCCTTTTCTAAATAGAGTGAAACAAATGAAACAGCCTTTTTAAATAAGATATTGAACACTGTAAGTCAATTCACTGTTATGTCACTGAATGACATAACAACCATTTTGTTCATCGTATCACTAATTTTAAAAAGTCATTGCTTATTCTTTAGATGTATAAGTCATAGAAAATATAATATCTAAGAAACAACAATCAATTCAATTTCCTAGGTAATAAGAAATTTCTCTTGAAAGAGACATAGAAAAAAAAAAAACCCTAGAAGATCTGAGTGACTTTTAGTAAATTAAGCCCAAAAACTCTAGAAGCCCTCATTTTCTTATTCAATTAGGACTCATAAAAAAAAATTTCTTATTAATTTATGTAATGAGATTATTATTAAGAGATTATACAAAATAGTCTTCAATAATCTTTTCATTTTAAAAATTTTATATTTTTGGCATGTGTTCATCAACTAATGATCATTTTTTTTTTACAGGCCTTATAAATAGCACTTTGTAAACTTATCAATCAACCTTCATTCAAAATTTAAAGCAATTTAAGTGATTTGTTAGTTTACAAATTCTTAAACAGGAAACTGAGCTCCTAGTAGATAACAAATTCAATCATTAATTTTCACTATTACAGGAGAAGAAAATTTAAAGAATGTGTTATATATATTTTACATTAGTGTAAAATTACTTATATACTATATAATGCTAGGTTTTAGCTCAGAACTCTCACTTGAATTCAAGACTCATATATCCAACTGCCCTAGACTCCACATTTCCATTAGAAAGTCTAACAGATTATCTCAAACTAAACGTATAAAATCAAATTCCCAATCTTCCAAATCCAGTGTTTCATCATCCTTCCATTTGCTCAGACCAAAAACCTCCCTTTTCTTCCATATTTCACATCAAGTATTTCACAAAATACTGTTTTTTCTATCTTCCAAACACATCCAGAATCTGACTACTTAGCACATACTCTACTTCTCTAATCACTCTGTCTCTTGCTAAAATTACTCCAATAATTGTCCCCTCTCCCCTCACACCAAGACTATTATCAACACTGGGTGCTCCCTCAATAAAGCCAGAATGATGCTTTAAAATCAAAGTCAGATCATGGCACCCTTCTGCTCAAATTCCTCCTGTGGTTCCCCATCTCACCAGTGGTCTATGGCCCTACATGATTTGGTCATTTCTTACCAAATTCCCCCTTAGAATCACTCTGCTCTAGCCATTCTGATGTCCTTGAATTGCTCAAGCATATCAAGGCTGCTGCCATCTTGGGGCATTTGCTGTGGCTTTCTTTTTCCTGAATATTTCTTCCCTGGAAACCATATTGCTAAAACCCACCAATCAACTTTTGAGTCTTCTGTCCAAATGTTACCCCCCCTCAATGGGAACTACCCCATCACAATTTTAAATTGTAATTTGTCCCCTCCACTTCACCCCAACCCCAGCACTCTCTATTCCCCTTACTCTGTTCTACTTTTTCTATTTCCCATAGCATTTATTACCTTCTGACATGCTCTATCATTTATGTTTATTAAAGTTTATTGTCTATATTCTCTTAGTAGCCTATATGGACCACAGGGGTAGGGATCTTCACCAAATGATTTGGCACACAGAAAGCATTTGATAAGTGTTTGTTGAATGACTGGAATAAACCAAAATGAATCAGAACAAACAGGAACCTATTTTTAACAAGTTAAATTTCAATCTACAGGTCAAAAAACTTAATTGGGCCTCTGAAAAGATTAAACATAATAAATTTAAAAACTCAACATTTTTACAGTTCTAACTATAATCTATCAATAATAAAAAGTTTCTACTTTCCCAGAAAGATCTAACAATTAAAAATGTTAATATTTCAGCAATCAGGTCTTATTAATTTAAACTGGGTAGCTTTTGGATCCTACAATGTCTTCAGTTTTTTAAATTAAAAGTTAAGCCTTATTGTAATCTTCACTATACTCACAATGATAGTAATGGGAGATCATGGAAGATGTGTGGTAAAATCTATTTACTTGCCAGAAACTAACAAGATTCTTAACCTACGCATATTCACTCCTTTTTTAAGGGGGAAGGGGAAAAATAAATGAAGCACTTAAAATGGTTTAAATGTCCATTCAGTTAAACAGGATTTGCAATCTGGTTCTTTTAATTGCTTAAAAGTGAAATTTTCTGACTATGAATAATAAAATCCTAAAAACACACAAGGCTAAACTCCTGGTAAGGAAACCTCTAGTCAACTGAAAGATTCCATTCACTCATATTCAGAAATACCCAGTACACTACTAAAGAGTAAGACAGCTCAAAGGTGGGACCAGTCGCTCATGTTTTCACCAGTAACTTCCTAGGAGGTTAGCTGAAAACGTACACACATGTATCATATAAACTCTGGGCCATGACTCACACTATAAAGCAAAGGAAGTGACACAAGAAACAATGCAGCTGTCTTTGGAGAGAAATGAATCACAAAACCCTTGCAGTAAGACTGGCAATGAAAAAAGCCAACTATTATTTATGCAGATGTATGACTCCTCAGAGAAAGACTTCTGTGTAGACAGTGGATCTAGCTATATTGGTAGAACCGGTGTCTAAAATATCTGAGTAACTTGATAAATAAACTCAGCAGTAACAATACAGAAAAGAGATTTTACTTCAATATCCCCTTGGTTTCCAAACTTTGTTCTGTTGCAAAAAAACAGTAATAATAATTAGTCACTTTATAGCCATTACATATTTCAATGACTAATTATCCTGTATAATAATTACCTTCAGATATTTGCCACAAAAAAGGAAAAGAAGTGGCATCTTAAGAGTTCCTGAAGGGAAAGCCCCCAATTTAAAACCAGGATAATTACTGATTCTCTAACTCTGTCTTTAAAGAGCATAAAACCACAACTAAGGGAGTCCTGGAATTCTTCAACCTCAACAGAAAATTTTCTCTCATTCTCAGTATCTGTCTCTCTCTCTTCCTCACTCATACTACATGTACACACACCTGCTAGGACTGATCACTTTTGAAGAATTCATCACAATCCTACCTTACTGATAGCAACAATTCATTTCCAAACCCAAAGAACAATCTATGCTGTAGAAGTCTTCCCCCAAATACTTGTTTTACCTCGTTAGATGTTTAAAATATTAAATTTGTTTAGAACAATTTGCACCAAAAAATTCTATGCCTTGCACAAACTGGTGAAATCTGCCTAGATTGAATAACTATAGTTTTTTAAATTTATACTTCTTTTGCACAGAAGATGCCAGAGATGAGTCTCTAAAAACTCTTCTATTACATTCTCAAACTCAATTTCCACAAAATCCAGATTTGCAAGTTCTACTATCTAGGCAGGAAACACAGAACATTCTGTATATGGATTCAAATTATTTTCATGGTATATTGCTTATATTAAAAAAAAAAAGATAACTAGTTGTACAACTTCCTTTAAACATGCACACACAAATATACACCCTGGATAAAAGGTGACAACAGTAAAAAGTTCATAGGATGTTCAAAATTTCAACATTATAAGAAATTTACAGTGTTCTTCAAGATATTGCCCTCCTGGTAAAATATTAGTTTCTTTTGTTTACTTAACACCTTTGGCTGGAGGCAGTATGTTTCCTTACCCCATTCTGTTCCATCGCCTGCACTTCTAGACTCATTGTCTCCTTCCTCTGATGTAACCAAGAAGTCAAATTCCTTTAGAGCTTCTTTTGTATCTCGATCTTCACTGCTATCAGGTAATGCTTTTTTCCTAACAATCTAATGAAAAAACATGCTAAATTAAAATTTTAGGATATATTATGAAATTAATTTAAATAAAGGAAAACAGTATCCCTTTATCACTGAATGAGGAAACCCAATTATTGGCTTCTTCAGAAAGTATATCTTTGTCATGTTAAAAGCTATAATACTTAACCAGTTCAATGTAAAACAGGTATCATTTAAAAAAGATACATTACACATTTTAAAGTAATAATTTAAACTTTGTTCAAGGATGGCTTGTTTGTTTTGAGTAAGCTAATGAAATCATATATTGAAAACACTGGAATATAAGATAGGTATTTCAATTATAGATAGATGAAAAATGTCCCTGACATACTACTGTACTATGAGAACTACAACCATATTCTCATATTTCTTGGATGCAGTCTGTGCAATGCACAGACATTCTAAACTAACCAAAAAGAGAAACACTTCATAAAATACAAGAGTTTTACAGAATATAACGATGATAAATGTTAACTCTACTACATAATTCCCTTAAAAAATCTAAAATCATAAAAGCTACAAACTCAGAAATGAATGCAAGTCTCAGAAAGTATGGTATTAGAGAAGGAAAAAAAGCTTCCCCCAGTACTTCTACTGTTCCAACCTTGCATCAGTTTTCCCTAATAACTCTTTATGTATTCAAATTTTTTCCAAAATACTGATCTTTCCGAGTGGGACCTGACTTAGATTCAATAGCAAATCTGGTAAGGGCTGTTATGTCTTGTTTTATGTATTTAGGAATATCTCTGGAATCAAAAATCCAGTTGGAGGACTGAAATTTAGGCTTAATGTATGCAGAGATAATTTTTGAGATCTATATGTCAAAACTCTTTATGAATTATCTTCTTTTTAGTCACCTCCACCACCAGAAGCCCAAAGAAATTAGGATGAATGGTTTGCAGCTTCTTTTGATAAAATGGATTCACTATCTCAGCTTCTCCGGGCCTCAGCTTCTTCACTTCATGCAAAATGGAAATAGCATGATCTGACCAAACTTTATCACTGGGTTACTGCGAGTGGATTAAAATTGTAAGGGTGCAACAAAGTGATCAATAGGACAGAATACAGAGTCTAGAAACAGACTCTAAGAGATAACAAATACCTGACTTGTATGCCCCTGTTCTCATGCCCATTCCTGGTATTACTTACCAATCACAGCACTTCTCATCTAAGATCAGATACAGCCTCAGAAATCTTTCTCAGTGAAACAGTATGGAAGTTCCTCAAAAAGTTAAAAACAGAGCTACCCTACAACCCAGCAATTGCACTAGTAGGTATTTATCCAAAGGATACAAAAATGCTGATTCAAAGGAGCACATGTACCCCAATATTACAGCAGCACTATGAACAACAGCCACATTATGGAAACAGCTCAAAGGTCCATCGACAGATGAATGGATAAAGGAGATGTGGTCTATATATATATACAATGTAATATTAGTCATCCAAAAAATGAAATCTTGCCATTTGCAACAACATGGATGGAGCTAGAGAGTATAATGATAAGTGAAATAAGTCAGTCAGAGAAAGACAAGTATCACATGATTTCACTCAATTGTGGAATTTAAGAAACAAAACAGATGAATATAGGGGAAGGGAAGGAAAAATAAAATAAGATCAAAACAGAGAGGGAGGCAAACCATAAGAGACTCTTACCTATAGAGAACAAACTGAGTGTTGCTGGAAGAGAGGTAGGTGGGAGGATGGGCAAAATGGGTGATGGGCATTAAGGAGGGCACTTGTTACAATGAGCACTAGGTAGTATATGTAAGCGATGAATCACTAAATTATATTCCTGAAACCAATACCACATTATATATTAACTAACTTGAATTTCAATTAAAAAAAAAAAATCCTTCTAGTGTAGCACTCCAGGAAGCCACTATCAGAAGAAAGCTGGTGCAGTAGATGAAACCTAATCTGCCTTCACTACCCTGGTATATATAAAAACTGAATAGGAGAAATCAAGGATTCTTTAATGCTGCTAGAATAACTGGTTTAACTATTTAGAGTATTTCCCTAAGACCTAGACATACTTTTATGTTTATAGCATATTCTAATCTCCCATCCAGCACATCAATTAAACAAAAAAGTTTGACATACTGAGTACAGAAATCCCATGCTGAAGGTGTATTCTTTTGTAACTATATGCTAATAGTTTTTTCCAATTTTCTCTGGGCAGCCAAACTAAGGTAGAAAAGTATCTCTGACGAGTTATACCAATAGAAGACGCTGACCTTCATTTTTCCACAAATAAACACACTGCCTAATCCATCTTCTTTCACCCTAGAGGCTTGATTTCTCCCTTCCCCCGACCCTGATGGGACACCAGATATGAATTAGAGGGGCCATCACCCACACCTTGTAGACAGAGATTCTTGTTCTCAATGCCTGATGAAAAGGGCAGGGAAAATACATAATACATTGAAAAACTGAATGTATTTTCAACATTCTAATTACTAAATATGGTAATAAGTCACAAAACTAACTCCTTGGGAAAAAATCTGTTTCTAGGTCTCTCCTCCATATAACCTTATGAATGAAGATATGGCAAGTTGCAGGCCACTGTCTATCAAGTCTCCCACTTAAATAAAAACTCCTGTGTTTTTAATAGTTAGGCATAGAAGAAAAGTGTGGTTGCCAACAGAGAGTAGGATTAGTAAATGGGACGGGGTGGGGTTTGTTATAATAAGTACATACCACTTTTCCTTACATTCCAGATTCCACTCCACTCCTACCTCTAGTGAGTTTAGAAGTCAACTTAAGAATTAAGGCAAACACAAAAAAGTTATAGGTTGCACAGGGTGCCACAAAGATTAGAAAAAAGGATAGACGGCCACTTTGGTTTTAAAACCATTAGAAGAAACATAACACAAACGGGGATGACACAATAGATTTTAATGACTCTTAATCCCATTCCTTTTCCTCCTAAAGTATCTGAATGTGGAGACTAAATCTTGCTGGTGAAGTTATCCTTCAAACATTTTAAAGTTGATCACTTTTTATACACATGTATAATTTCAAGATCATTATTACACTTAACTAATGATACTATGGTGAGAATGCAAAACAATGATGGTAAAGAAAAATAAGGTGAAGAGGTTGATCATGAAGAAGGAGGAGATAAAGAGGAGAGATATGATCCAGAATATAACCCAAAGAATAATCAAACTCTAAAAGAGGGTAGAGAGCAAGAAGACAGCATATGCAGCTATGCACAAATGATAGTTACTAATAGCCCATGTCTCTATATTTTCTTAGTTGAATCTACCAAACTATTTTGATTAAAGAAATAAAGTAACAGTTTAAAAACCTGTTTGTTTTACTAAACATTTTAACTGCAATAAATCTTTTAAGTCATGCTTACTCATTGCTACACAGAGTTAGACTGTGAAAGTCCTTTTGGTATGTAGCTATTAGCCTGCAGCTGTGAAAATTAATGTAATATATCCTAAAAATTAGCAAAGCTGTTACAAAGAAACCAATTATTTGTTTAGGGATATTTTTTCCTGAAAAACTAAAAGGATTTTTGAGGCCATGCTTAAATGGGGTTAAGTATGTTTATATTAGCTATGCCTTCACTGCTTGGTCACAGAATTGCTAAAATCCGCACTAATTGCAAGACAGGATCTTTATGAATTTGATTACTTAAAAAGAAACCAGGTTATGGTTAGGAATTTCTAGTAAGACCATAATTAATACTTAAAGCATGATAATTATCATTTACCACTGAGCTATGAATAAAGTATTTTGATGGGAAAATAATATCTCAATGCAATTGGCCCACAGAAATCACAAAGCAGTACAAAACTTCCAAATGAACAGGACAGAGAAAAAGTATCATACAAGTTTAGGCATTTTCTTTTACTACAGTAAATTAAAACATATTCTATTACTACCTGTTTGGATAAGAAAAATTGGGGGTAACTACTTGAAGTTCAAATAATACCCCTGGCAAGGCTGTATCAGCAGAATACTACTGCAGAGTGGCTCAGGGAAACAATAATGTGGAAGCAATAATTTGAGAGTCTTTGATGGAAGCAGAGGACATAAAGGAGAGAATTTATACCCAGAAAGCATTTATATCATTTTTCATATATAGCATCTCATTTATTGCTCACAAAATCCTCTGAAGATAAGATGGGTATTTATAATTCCCATTTTACAAACTAAAAAACTAAGCCTGACGGGTAAGAAGCACAGATAACTAGTGACAACTCGGACTTAAACCCAAAGCTTTCAACTCTAGGTCCAGTCGGCTTCACTACCTTGCTTTCTTCCTTACTCTTCTTAAATAAACGTGGAAGAGGAAATGTAAACATTTTCCTAGACAAAACAAAGCATGCCCTCATCTATTACTTAAAAAAGAGAGGAGGAGGAGGAGAGGGAGGAAGGAGAGAGAGAAGAGAGGAGAAGGAAGAAAAAGTAGGGAGGAAAAAAGGGAAGGAAAAAAAACAAAAAACCAGGAGGAGCTGAAGGTGACAGAATGGAGAAGAGAAAGGAGAAGAAGCAAGACACCTCTTATTCCAAGAAACTACCATGGGAAAGTCAATAAACCTATAAAGATCTAAACAAAACTACAGAATAACTTTAAACAAGTTTGAAGAAATCTAATGGAACAGTTCTAAAAATTTGTAACATTTGTCTACCAAAGCAACCCAGACAAGAAAGACAAAACTGCATTGATTAGAGGTGACGCCAATCGCCATCAGGTACCATAATGGGTCTGTCAGTTCTACTGTCTTATAGCACCAACAACACTGCTTTGTTATAACACAAACATTTTTACCATATTCACCAGCTCTACTGAACTACTAAAATGCTTAATGAGTTAATAAATCAAAGAGTGAGGACCTTTAAAGATTTTTTAAATTTTTGTAAGTAATCTCTCTACCCAATGTGGGGCTCGAACTCACAACCCTGAGATCAAGAGTCATGTGCTCTATCAACTGAGGCAGCCAGGTGCCCCAGAGAGTAAGGACCTTTTAAGAGAAAGCTGCCATCCTAAAATTATTATTGAATTTAAACTCAATACTAAAAACTCTTAAATGAAATTTCCCCAAATTCATGAAAAAAAGTTAAGGATTTAGGTTGAACCAATCGATTTTTTTTTTAATTTTCTTTCACTTGGATTATTTTTAAAGTAAGCATAATGATCCCTAAAAACATTATCCTACTCACTGTTGAAGTATCAATGATGCTTTTCTCTCTTCCATCAATGTCATCATCTTCATCTTCATCACTGAAATCTGCAGCTGCACTTTCAAGGAATTTGAAATTATCCAGCACGGAGGCAGAATCTGTTAACTCGGATTTTCTGGTTTAGAACATGTACACCTTGCTCAGTTAATTTTTTAAACTCAACATAAGAATTAATCCATATGTTGCACTAACTTCTGTTTACATTGTAACTATGATCCCTCAAATCATATTATGAACTACACTGATTCTTATCCATTATATTTCCATGGATTTTAATTGGCAAAGCACAATAGGAAGTGGTTACTCTTTTAAAAGTACTTTGCAATCATATCTATTTGGGTTAATGTAATATAAAGAACACCCCTCCTGATTCAGTATTCTTTTGATCCAAAAGAACATTAATGTCTTTCTTTTAAAAAATATTTTTCTTATTACCTCTACTTCTATTTTTCTCTATTCTTTTCCTCTCTGCAACTCTTCCTCTAACATGTGAATTTCTATAACTAAGAAAATAGCTAGTAGATACATCAGTTTTCTCTGATACAATCCTATATTTCTACTGAACAGCTAAGGAGTTGAAAAAAAACAAATATACACATAAAGCTACTAAAAATAACTTAAGTCAAACTAATATTACTACGAAACTTGATCCTGTTAATGAATAAACCATTAATTTTTTGAAATGATTGACTTTTCAAATACATAAGATTTTAATTTAGTTTCCTCAAAATAAATTTAGTAAATAATTTCCTAATGGCCAGAATAAGATGATTTCTCTCCAGTTCATTAGGAAATGTTTTAGATAACAAGGTATTTTTTTAAAGAAAATTTAGCCACGACTCTAGACAACATTTCTAAAACAGATTAATCTTAAATTTCAAATCTGCTGAGAGCTATGTTTTTGGTATCTTCCACCCTATTCTCTATCCCTACACAAATGAGACAGATTCGGAATAATACCCTTGTCAGTTCCAAAAGACAGGTCAAGGGCAAAACACAAGACAACTCAAGTGGCCTTTTCTGAACATCTTTATAATGACTTATAATAACCCTGTAGGTAAAACTATAACCAGGAATAAGGCCTACATTGTCTATGCCTACACAAAGAAACAATCTAATCTTACATTTGTATAAATAAGTTAATGTAGTCTTAAATATTAATGAATATATTTAAGAAGGCTCCAGTGACATTTATTTATAGAAGTTCGTTTATAGGAGTCCATCCTATTTTTGAACCTTTACCTAAATCCCATAATTTTAGTTAATGTTCCAAATAACAGAAATGATGTTCTCACTAGAAAATGTATAGAGTTCAATTAAAACCATTCTTATAGCCCAAATATGCAGTAAAATGAGGCAAAATAATATTCAGACTTTCACAGAATCTTTGGCTTTTTCTCTCTTTAAGAATCATGCCAAATTTAACTTGAGAAACAAACAGGGTTTTAAAGGGGAGGGGGGAGAAGGGATAGGTTAGCCCGGTGATGGGTATTAAGGAGGGCACGTACTGCATGGAGCACTGGGTGTTATATGAAAACAATGGATCGTGGATCACTACATCAAAAACTAATGATGTACTGTATGGTGATTAACATAACATAATAAAATTAAAAACTACAAAAAAAAAAAGAATCATGCCAAATTTATTTTCAATAAAGAATGTCCTTACTCAACTACTCATGTTCATTTTAAGCAGAATTACATATAATTGTATGACACATGATCCAAAAAGCAAAACAAAATATTTCAAACAGCTACTGAATTTTTCACACTTATTCTATCAATTAAAAACATACACTTAAAATAGATATTTTTCAAAGGAAAAGGTGAGTTACAGTATTGTTAAATACACAAATGGCTAAGAAAACATTTACTTCTAAAAAATTTGAGGAATTTATAGGATTTTTAGGTCATCAGGAATGAAATTACATTCTTATAAGATTTGAACTGAATCTCCTAAAGATGATCTTTTGTGAAGTTCTAATAGTAAGTGACTGAGCTTCAAGATATTAAAATCTGTATTAAACCCTATAGATTTCAAGCAAATAAAAATATCTTAAAAATATTCTTAGGGGCGCCTGGGTGGCTCAGTCAGTTAAGCGGCTGCCTTCGGCTCAGGTCATGATCCCAGGGTCCTGGGATCGAGCCCCACATAGGCTCCCTGCTCCGCGGGAAGCCTGCTTCTCCCTCTGCCACTCCCCCTGCTTGTGTTCCCTCTCTCGCTGTGTCTCTCTCTGTCAAATAAATAAAATCTTTAAAAAAAAAAAAAAAAATATTCTTAAAATAATCATAAATAACTCTAATCCCTATGGGTTATCTTCTACCAAATGAAATTTCAATTTTTTAATTCAACTTTATAATAAATTATTTCTGTAGCAGTATCTAAACTGCAAGTATCACAAGTGTCAACCATAAACCAAAAATATTTAATAAGCACTAAAATTTTAGCTAAAACGCTTTCTAGACAGAATACTTACCCAATCATTGCCGTCTCTTTAACTTCGGCCTCTGTGCCATTTATAACTGAATCCTGATTTTTGTCATCTTCCCTGTCAGTGACATCACTTGAAAAGCCCAACAAAGCTCGCACTCGTTTAGATTTCACATCTAGAATGGTATCTGTGTAACCCACCTCCTGTAGATACCTGCGTGTGAAGAAGATCCTTACAATTCAGTCATATTGGAATCAGTATTCTATAACTTAATATGTAAATAAAAGTATTTCTTTAAATTCATTGCCTGCATAAGACTTAACAGTACAGTACTATGCTAGTAAGACGTGCTAATAAATAATCTTCCAGCTGCAGATGGAGCTGTCTCTTGCAGTACCAGCCTCTATGGTCACTGAAAAAAAAATCAAAGAACTATACAATACACCATTCATTACATTTATCATAAGAAGAAGCTGTTCCTTAATATACCTAATAGCACATTCTTTCTTCTAGGCAGCAAACTCACTCTCAGATTCTTACAACAGTAATTATTATAACCAGTGGTTTTTTGTTTTTTTTTTTTACACTTCTGATATAGAGAGTTATTGAATCAACTGTTTGAGATCCAGAGAGGATATTTCTAGCATATTTGGTTTCCTCCATGACATACAAGAAGAGTATATTCCAAAGAGTCATTTCTACAGAAAGGAAGCTTTTATCCTGAGACAACTCTAAAATAAAAATAGCCCACAGTTCAACTGTGGATGTGGGATGCCTGTGTGCATGTGGGAGTGTGTGTTACAGAGAGGCAGCAGAAGAGAAGAGAACAGGTTTGTACTGAGAACTAGATCTGGGTCTAAAGCCCATTTCTGCCACTTTCTTCCTGTGTAACTTTAATTCTCCTGAACCTCAGTTTTCTTCCCCCTAAAAGTGACACACCTCATATAGGGTGACATACAGAAGGCACTCAATATCCATTAACAACAAAGATGACTAAAAAAGACCAAAAGGAACATGAAAAAGGCAAAGGTCATTACTAATGTCATTAACAAATGTGACAGACAAATACTAGGCATGAGCCTGTAAGTAAGCAGCAAATCTATGAAATTAAGGAGAAAACAAAGGTGGACAAGATAACCAGTCTGAGGTCAGTTTATTTCAACATCTGGTATTAACAGATTACAGCTCAAAGACATATTTCACAAAGATATATGACCAAAATGGAGTAAGTGTATCTTATCAAATCAAGATACTCATTTTTCAATACTATCTGATATTTAATTTGGACAATAAATGTTTAACTTTCTTGAATTTAATCAGTTCTTACAAACCAACAGATTTTTCTGTTCTAAACAAATATTTGATATATATCTTTGGCAACAAAATCACATTAGAGATAACTGTTTCAAAAACCGCTCTTTCCATAGGTAAGTTGGCTTTACTAAGTACCTACCTCCTTAATTCATTGATAAAATGTCACCTTTACTTTAAAGAGACAGATGATGAGTCTTTTAAAGTTTTTGAAAACTATCTCAGATTGCTTACTACAGTAACTACTTCTCATAAAAAAGAAAATGAGCACTTTAAAAACACATTTATGAAAGAAAAATGTAATACGTCATATTTAAGACCAAGGTGAGGGCACTAGGAAAACCACTTATTAAATGTTAGTGAATTCTCATTTTTTTCTCATGCTGAATAGATAACAAATACATAAAAGGAGACATTTTAATATTCTCTTCCCATTAGGCAAAAGGAATGGCTGGCACAAATTCACTCTGGAAACCACTGGTGCAGACTACTCACAGGAAACTCAAAAATCCAAAAACAGCTAAGTACATTTCATTTTAATGAAGCACAAGTCAGAATACCAATTTCAAATGTGATATGCAAGGATAAAGCAGTGAGCTGGTTAAGTGGGCTATAGCCTACCACCTGACATTTGAACCTCATTCCAGCTTTGTTTCCTCTTTATAGTCTCAAATACACATTTTATAGGAGAAACTACATGGTAGTGCAGTATTTGCAAATTTGAGAAATTAAAAAAGTTCTTCAATCTATTTAAAATAGGAAATTTAAAAACATAACACAAAATTACATCTAAATATTGATTAGACTTACATTAAGACATACCTATGTTCAGGTATAAAAGATGCAAAAAGTAACTTTAAGGGTATAGAATTCTTTTAAAAAAAATATTTTATTTATTTGAGAGAGAGAGAGAGAGAGAAAGCAGAAGCAGGGGGAGGGGTAGAGGGAGAAGCAGACTCCCCGCTAAGCAGGGAGCCCAATGTGGGGCTCGATCCCAGGATCCTGGGATCATGACCTAAGTGGAAGGCAGGTGCTTAACGACTGAGCCACCCAGGTGCCCCTAGAATTCTTTCAAATGTAAACATAAGTGTATATTAAAATTTAGAAGCTTAAAGGTATACTCTTTAAGTTAAAATTATAAAAAGAGAATTTATTCTTGGTTAATTCTTATTAATATTTAATGAAAAATAAAACCTACCACAGGGGAAAAAATGTTTACTATGAAAAAGGAACAATAACTCAATTAAGCTTTTTCACAGCAACAGTCTAATAATAAAAGAGAGAAAATTATTCTGAGTTGAAAATGCAAAAAAAAAATATATATATATATGTATCCTGATGAAAACATACTTTTCTTTGTTTGACCACGGGATACTTACTGTCTGAGTAGTTGTCGACCTTGTTTCCACATTAACTGGCTGTTTTGCTGTGGCTGTACCTCTGTTTCATTACCTTCATCTGGAAAACATTAAATCATAATAAAAGTGCCTTGTTTTATTCATTAGAGGGCATCTCAATTCATAAAATATGTCCAATAAAAACGTATAAGATTAAGAATATGCAAACTACACTGTAAGGTATGTTTTAGGACAATGTACACTTTTTTAAATCTAATTTCCGTAACAAAAATAATATAGATTCATGATTGCTACTAGATTCCCCTGAGCGTAGCAGAACTAAAATAAAGACATTTTCCCAATCTCTAGTAGCCTGAGAATTTTCGTCCAGGACAAAGACCTATTCAAATCAAGTCACACAATAAGAGTCAAATGAAAGTATTATGGAGCACCACATCAGAGCTAGAACAAAGCACTCAGGAATGATGACAGAAAAGCCAGTTTGGTAAAGAGGAGATAGGGAAGAAATAACTTCAATCCAAATCTATTTCCTTCACTAGTTACCAAATGAAAACTTCAAATATTCTTTTGAAGACATTCTTTGAATGAAAACCACCTAAGTCTTGTAAAGCTTAAATTCATCATTTGGTAGAAAGTGAACTCTTTCAAGAGGAAAGTAAAATAAAAAGAGCCTTCTCTGTGCTAAATCTGGACTACGGAATTTCCAAACTATACTCTAATTTTAAAAATACAAAATATTTCACACTTTCTATCAGCCCTTGATCAAACTATAAGAAACTGTGATCTTTTACAGGGTTTTATTCACATGGAGATGTAAGAGAGACTGGGAAAATTTGTTTTATGATATTGATGTTAAGCATTTACTGTGTTCCAGATGCTGTGTTAAAAACACATTATCTCTTTTAATCTTTACAACCTCAAAAGATAGGTGTTATTACTATCCCTATTTTAAGATGAAAAAGATGAGTTTTACAAGTTAATTGTATGATTTCCAAGTTAGAAACACAGTTGTAAGTGCTGAAATCACATCTGACTCCAGAGCTCATGTATTTACAGAAATATGTAAATAAGAATTAGATCTTCCATTTTCATTTTTCTCCTACATTAATTAGGCCAAGCTCTGTGATATACCAAAGAAACAGCAGTAGACCAGACTGTGGCAGGAGGATTAAGTTACCTCAACAAGGTAGATTACTTTGGGATGATCTCAGAAGGCATAGAGTTTAAAAAAGGGGCAAAAATAATGTCCCCATACTAAGGAAAAACAACACACATCTTGTTTCCATTGACCCACAAATTCAGGAACTATGGTTCACAAATGGTTCCACAAATTCAGGAATATACTAAGGTATGTTCTAATATATCTTAAGTCAAGTAAGCTATACTTACCAAGTAAGAATACTTACACTGGCATTTCAAAAGACTAAAAATTTCATATGTGAAGGAACTTTTGAGGTCATCTAATTTCCCATCAGTATAGGCTTCTCTATTCCACCCTCAGATATACTCAACTGCCTTTGCCTACTTTGGAAGCTAGTGATGTTACCAAAGTACAACACATACATTCAGTGGACTACTACTTACAAGGAATGAACTATTGATACACATCAACATGAATGAATCTCAAATGCATTATGCTAAATGAGAAAAGCTAGAATCAGAAGGCTATATTCTGTATGATTCTCAAATTCATATGACTTTCTGGAAAAGGCAAAACTATAGGAACATAAAACAGATGAGTGGCTGCCAGGGGATTAGACCGGGGACAAAGGGGTTGGCTACAAAGGGTAGTAGTAACGAAACTATATGTGTGTGTGAAAATACTAAAAAGGTGAATTTTACTTATGTAAATGATACCTTAATAAAAAATAAATTAAACCAAACCAAATAAGAATGCATCTTCACCCTCTTTAAAAAAGTGTATCCATGAAAATCTGACTCCCTGGGTAACATGTTTTAAAAAAAAGTCTGAAGTTAAAAGAGAAAAAAAACTTTTGTACATGTGAACTTGATTTTCCCCACATTTCCATATTCAAGCTAAAATTCACAGTTCTCTCAATCAACTATCAGATTCACTCTCACCTTATCAAGTTTAAAAAAAATGACATCATACGAAAGTGAGGATTTTAAAGTGGTAAGAGTTGAACTGCTTGGCAATATAAAAGTAGTTGACTGGTACTTCCAGTCAAGTTAGAGTAACAGGGACCCAATTTACCCTCCTGCTTGAAACAACTATAAAACAAAATAGATGAAATCATGGTTAAGACCTGATTTCAGGCAACAAAGGACAATGATCCCTGAGAGAAAGGAAACACACAGTGAGCCCTGTGATTTTTCCAGCTTACTGCCTTGACAGAGTTTCTAGATTGTGGCATAGGGAGGGGAACAAAAACAGTATCTGAAGGAGGCGCCTGGGTGGCTCAGTCGTTAAGCGTCTGCCTTCGGCTCAGGTCATGATCCCAGGGTCCTGGGATCGAGCCCCGCATCGGGCTCCCTGCTCTGCGGGAGGCCTGCTTCTCCCTCTCCCACTCCCCCTGCTTGTGTTCCCTCTCTCGCTGTGTCTCTCTCTCTCTGTCAAATAAATAAATAAAATCTTAAAAAAAAAAAAATATCTGAGGAAAGAATAGCTGAAAAGTTGTATATTTCATGAAAATTCTAAATCCACAGATCCAAGAGACTCAATGAACCCCAAGCACAAGAAACACTGGGGGGCGGGGGTCACCTGGGGACTACACCGAAACACATCATAATGAAATTGCTTAAAACCAATGACAAAATGAAAAATCTTAAAAGTGCCAGAGAAAAAGGTCACATTCTGCATACAGAAGAACAGAGATAAGTTTGATATACGATATCTCATCAGAAACAATGCAAGCAAGCAAAAGAAAGACTTTTTCAGACACACAAAAGCTGAAAGAACTCATTGGCAGCAGCCCATATTACAGGATATGTAAAAGTCCTTGAGGCAGATGGACTATGACACCAGAAAATACGGATCCACACAATGATGAGCACTGGAAATATATACTTTTTATATTATTTAAATCTCTTTAAAAGAGAACTAACAAAAATAATAATATAGTGTGTGACTTATAAGCAAAATATGTGAAAACAACTGCCAAAGAGAGACATAGAAATCCAGTTACAAGGCTCTCATACTGTAAGAAGTGGTATATTGTCACTTAAAGACAGACTGCGGTTAAGTTAAAAAAAAAAAAAAAGTATACCACCAAAATAGCAAAGAGTTACAGCTAATAAGTCAGCAAGAGATAAAATAGAACAATTAAAAAAAAACCAACTAGATTATCCCAAAGAAATCCATGAGAGGAAAAGGGATCAAAGAACACACTGAACAAACAGAAAACAAACAGCAAAGGGGGTAGCTTTAAATCTAACCATACCATTAGTCACATTAAATATAAATGGTCTAAACATCTCGATTAAAAGAATTTGTCACTCTGTATAAAAATATTCTATTTTTAATATGTACCTGGCTTCTAATATTAAATAAAAGAAGCTAAAATATGGAAGATAAATAAATTTTAACATAACCTGGGGTAAAATTTCCTAAGGTAGAAATGTAAAGGTTTGGATATAGAACAAAATGGGGGGGGGGCAGTCAGAAGGGAAACTAATTTTATTGTGAAAAATGTCTCAGAAAAAGTCTGGATTATCAGTTTAAAAAAATACATATTGTAAATGGATAAAGAGCAAAGACTAGAAGAATTCCTGCTTCTTTAAAGTTTACCCTGTTTGGATACACCACCTTCTACCCTCTCCTAGTCACTGTCCTCATCACTGTCACCCACAAATCCCTCAGTAACACTCGGAACTAGGCTTACATGCTTCCTCTGCAATCAAACGTTTACCTCATCTTGAGCGAAGTTAATATTCATGTGGGTGATCCACTTCAGCCTCCCCACAACCACCACCCTCTCTAGCTGTCATACCTTAGATATTGTCGTTATGAAGAACAGATGCAGACGCACTCTCCCTCTCTGAGCGTATTCTTCAGACTCATATTCCCACCTCACTAGTTCTTTCATTTAGCTGGGACCTTAGACCAGGGGCCAGCAAATTACAACCTGCAAGTCAAATGTGGCCTGCTGTACTCACTCATTTGTGTGTTGTGGCTAATTTATGTTAGAATGTCAGAGCTGAGTAGCTGCAACAGAGAACATATGGCCTAAAAAGCCCAAATATTATTATCTGGCGCTTTACAGTAAAAGTTTGCTGGCCTACTCCAGACCATAGCCTATCCCCTCACTTCTACCCATTTAGCCTCCTTTTGTCTTCACTTCCTTTCCTCTCTAGTTTTAGTTCAGTCTATCACTTCAATTATTCTTTAGTCTATGTCCTCAAATTTCTTGTCCCTTTGGTCTCTCCATGAATTCAATGAATTCAACTATGAACTATTTCCATTCTATTTAATTTTTGTCCAAGCTGTCAAGTATGCAAACCAATGCATCTATATAAACTCATGATCACAACTGTCAACTGGACCCTTAGCTTTTCTCAATCCTACTATTTATTATCAGTTTGCCCTCCTGCTCATTATTATTTTAAACCTTCTCTACTTTTCTTAAACCTATCATACATTCTTAGCAGGTAATCCAGTCTTACACATAAAGCTATCATATTAAATACCCACCACCAAAGTGAAACCCAAACCTACAAATCCATCACCTAACTTCTACATTCTTTCTTGGGAACAATAAAAGACATGCTCCTCCCACCATTCTCCAGCTAATTAAGAATCCAATCTCTGTGCTTCTTCAGATACCTTCCCATTCTGAATATGTCTTCTCTCTCCTTTTTATTTGCTCCTCCTCTAAGAAACACACACACACACACACACACACACTTTCCTTGACCCCATGTACCCTTTCAGCTATCCCTCTCTTCCACCTTCACAATCTAAGCTTCCTGACTTACAGGTAACTGCAGTTAGTCTTCATTTTCCACTCATGTCTTTGTTTCTACCCTTACCTTTCTCCTAAAACTGCCCACAGTAATGACCCATGTGTCACTAAATCTTTTTTTTTAATTATTATGTTAATCACCATACATTACATCATTAGTTTTTGGTGTAGTGTTCCATGATTGTTTGCGTGTAACACCCAGTGCTCCATGCAGAACGTGCCCTCTTTAATACCCATCACCAGGCTAACCCATCCTCCCACCTCCCTCCCCTCTAGAACCCTCAGTTTGTTTTTCAGAGTCCATCGTGTCTCATGGTTCGTCTCCCCCTCCGATTTCCCCCCCTTCATCCTTCCCCTCCTGCTATCTTTTTTTTTTTTAAACATATATTGTATTATTTGTTTCAGAGGTACAGATCTGTGAATCTTAAAGCTACTCTTTAGGACCTCTGGTTATAAATCATAGTGCTTTAGAGTCCTTATTTCTGGAATCCCTCTCTTATCCTGGTTTCTATCCTACTGTTAAGATAATTCTTATCATTTCCTTTTCAGCTTTCTATTCTTCTACCAGTTTTTTAAGTGTTGCCATTCCTCAGGGCTCCAATCCAGGTCCTCTTCTCACTCTGAATAAAGTCTGGAGTGCGAGGTGGGGGGGGCGCCTCTTCCTCCTCCACAATGACCTGAGTGCCTTTGGGACCATGTGTTGATGCCTCTCAAATCTACATATCAAAGCCATACCCTCTGGTTTGAGCTCCAGCCATCTTCACTTGATTGCCGAACTAATAAATCCAAAAGCGAACCCATCATCTTCCAAATCTACTTCCGACCTAGTTTTGAGAACTAGAAGTGTGGGGGTCATCTTTGAATGTCCCTTTTTTTCATTCCCTACATCGAAACTGGAACTCATTCCTGCAGATTTTACACCGTAAGTATTTCCTGAACATACCCCTTCTCTCTTCACATCCAGTCAGTGCCTGTCAAGGCAGCCTTCCTCATTTAGCCAAGAGGCTGCAACAGTCTGCTCACCAGTCTCCCTGTCACAGATCCAGAGGCTATCTGATCCACCTGCTACACTGCTGCCTGTGGGATCTAAGAGAAATCCGATCCTTCAAACACCTCCTCAAAACTCTCAGGATAAAAATGTAAATTCCTTAACATATTTTACAAGACCCTTGTAACATACTTTACCATCTGCCCTCTCCCCTTCGCCCGCTAACTCTCTAGCTCCATTTAGAAATACTCCTTCCCTCCCTTTCTCTACTAGCCAGTTATTTTATTTCTCAAATGTGCCAGATTCTTCCCCCTGCCTTTCTCCCACCTCTCATTCAGGAAATATTTAGTAAGTTCACTTTCCCTGGCCAATTCTTACTTGTCCTTCAGATGTTAACTTTAAACACCATTTGACTACTTAGGACTAGATATTGTGCTCTACAATACCTATTACCTTCCCCATTATACATGTCATTTTACTGTAATCACTTTTTTCTTATCTTCCCTGTAAAAATCCAATAGGGCATTGTTATCTTATTCACTGAATTTGAAGCTGGGTCTGACAAGCATTACATATTTAATATTTGTAAATAAACTGTGAACGATCAATAGGTGGAATTTATACTAAAACCATGTGTTGTTAGTACTAAGAAAATAAGAAAGAAGATAAATAAAGTAAGAAAATAAACCTGAAAGTTATGAATTATTTCCACTATTTTCCCAGTTTCAGATAAGCAGCAGAGCAATCTCCGAAAGATTAAATAATATCACAAATATTTAAAGTGTCAGGGCAGAGTTGAACTTACATGCCTAAGAGTCAAACTTTTTCTAGAACCACGTTGTTTACTTATAAACATTTTGTATATGTTGCAATTAGACTTTTATACTCCTAAAATAATATCTAAAAATAAGGAAACAAACTTTTTTTAATATAAAAATCCTGATTAAATCACTTCTGTGAATTGGACAAGATACTTTTAGGACAGCCTTTAACAAAGTTTAAATTTAAAACATTTAAGTGAATCTCAAGTCAAAAGGAGAGACAGCAAAGCAAGATAGAAAAATTTAAAAAACAAAGGAAAAAATATGCCAATGATCAACAGATACTGCTCCGAATCTCATGGATCAGTATTCAGCTGGGGAAATGTGTTAACATTACTACACTGAATTGAACTTTAAAATCAGCAGCACATTCAGATCTTATAAGGTTTTTTTCATACATTGTCAAATACAGAAGCAGTGTGGTAAAATAGGGCTAATATGAATTTTGGACTCTACAGGTATGGGGCAGCTGGCTGGTTCAGTCAGAGGAGCATGCGACTCTTGATCTTGGGGTTATGAGTTCGAGCCCCACCCTGGTGTAGAGATTACATAAACAAACAAACTTTAAAAATATGTATATGAATGTTGCAGTCATTAGACCTGGGCTCAGATCCATATTCCCATTACTTAATAATTGTGTGACCTCATGCAAGTTTCTCCACTTCTCTGAGTTCAATTTTCACATAGGTAAAATAAGAACAATATCACCTTTATGAGCAACTATTTTAAGAATTAAGGTTAACATACATAGAGGCCCTAGTACAAGGCACATATTTCATATATTTCAACATATAAATGATATAAACAATAACTGGTATCGTCAGATATTTGATCTAGAAATTTAATCTGAAATTACGTCAAAACATACTCATTCGAAACATAACTTGAACAACTTTTCCTACTATCTGTTATACCTCCTAATAAGTCAATTATGTCTATATCCTTAATATCTGATTGTTTACAAAGTGTTATTTTTGTAGGGATGAAGAGGAAGGTAGTATAAAAAAGAAGAAATAACACAAAAAGATCATAAATGCTTCAGCTGTTAAAAGATGGTCCGGCTGCAGAATCTTCTGTGCATAAGAAAATCCAAAAACAATTTTGCACCTGCAACTGAGGGGATGAGGTTGAAGGGATTAGGAATTCCCTGTACTTGAAAAGAAATCTGTGAACTCCATCATTCCTTCTCTTTCTCTCAGGATTTCCAGGGCATGATGTACTTTGTACCGCATATCTCAAAGTTCCCATTAATACTGGGAAACCCAGCAAGACACAGTTATGTTAGTATGTTACCCCATGAATTCTGATCTTTCCACGAAGTGTAGAACATAAGCAGAAAATGGGGAACTTAAAGAAAGGGGAAGAGGCAAAAGGAAGAAAGGTGATGGAAAATCATTTAAATGACACTAAATGATTAGCACTAAAGATAAGAAGGTCAGAAAAAGTCACTAATATGCAAATAATTCGAAATTAATTTGCAGTTATAAATATTGCTACTATAAATACTAGATGTCAACTTCTTTTTAATCACTTAAACTTCCTTTAAAATTAGCTTACCAGAATCATAGCTTGGAGGCTTCATATCTCCCTGATTCAATTCTGTCCCATATTTCAACTTGTGGTATTTGGCTCTAACAAAGAAATAAGAAAATACAAACCATCTTAAAACATATTTAAATGAACTTTAGGATATGTAATAGGAGTAGTCATCAGTACGCAGTAGTCCTGGCTACCTTTCAAAGTAGGCTTCCACAGTGTCAAAGTGGTTGTCATTATTATTTTATTGTTGTTACACCATCAAGTGCCATTATAACAAATAAAAGAGTAACACTGGGAACCATGCATCTTTCTATAATTACATATAACATTCTAGTTTCTATAGTATTCAAATTTTCTTGATGATTGCCAAATTACAATTCTACTATCAAAAGCAGTAGATAAATTTGGATTACGAAATAAACTTGTAGAAGACTAACCTTTCTCAAAATTGATGTATTTATAAAAAGAAAACTCATCTAATGGTATGTACATACAATGGAATATTATGCAGCCATAACAAAAGGGTGAGATCTTGCTATCTGTGACAACATGGATGGACCCAGAGGGTATCATGCTAAATGAAATAAGTCAGACTGAGAAAGACAAATACCAAATGGTTTCACTCATGTGTGTAATCTTAGAAAACAAAACAAATAAATAAACAAAAAGCAGAATCAGACCTATAAATATAGAAAACAGAGACTTACCAGAGGGAAGGACAGTGAGGAAATGGGCAAAACGGAGAAAGGGGACTGGGAGATACAGGCTTGAGTTATGGAATGAATAAGTCACAGGAATAAAAGGTACAAGGAATACAGTTGATGATATTGTAATAGCACTGTATGGTGACACATGGTAGCTACACTCGTGGTAAACATAGCATAACATATAGAGATAATGAATCACTGTGCTGGACAACTGAAACTAATGTAACACTGTGTGTCACCTATACTCAAAAAAATGTTTTAAGTCATCTATAATACTCTGTGCCTTGTCAGGCAATTACGATTTACCAAGTATGCATTACAGTAAACAATCCAAAGGAGAGAGGGGGAATCAGCCCTAATCACCAGTGTTGAATAAGATATTTCAATAGGAATGAATACATTTTTTTTTAATAGTCAAGTAAGTCTCTGTTTTCTATATTTATAGGTCTGATTCTGCTTTTTGTTTATTTATTTGTTTTGTTTTCTAAGATTACACACATGAGTGAAACCATTTGGTATTTGTCTTTCTCAGTCTGACTTATTTCACTTAGCATGATATCCTTTGCCTTTTCAGGAAGGACTATGAAGAGAAATTCTTATCTATTTCCCTTTTAAAGCTAGCTGAATATAATTATTTCTGGCTAACCTGATTTCACCATTTCAGATTTAAACATCTAAGACCAAAAAAATAATCCAGATAAAGTAAAAATTTTAAAGGTCAATCAAAAATGGCCATACTTACGTAATGTATTTATATATTTTGATTTGTTTGCTTCCCCAAAATATTGAGGCCATTTATAATAAATATTAAATGCAATAAGGTTAGGATAACAACAACAGTAATAATAATTAGAAAAACCAAAGTAATAAAGTAATAAAGAAGGAATGAGGGGATAATATAGCCAAATTTCAAAGTTAATTTTTTTTTAAAAAAACTAATTCAGCACTTCACATAAAGAAGTTTTTATATTTCAAAAAAGGTATAAAGGAAATGAAAATTATTTGCTCAAATGGGCAAAGTACTGGAATTCATATTATTTTATAGTTACAACAGAAAAATCAACATTTATATAGAGGAGGATCTTAAGAAAACCTATGAAAATTACAGATAGCTAATGTTCTATTTAAGGTCGGCAGCGAGTATAGGAGTATATATTAGTCTTATATGTTTTGCATATGTGCAGAATGTTTTGTAATAATATACACACATTAAAAATAAAAATGAATATTTGTTTTATATATGTGTTATATATATATATGTCATATGCATAGAAGATTTCTGGAAGAATACGGAAGACATTAGTAAGATTTCCTTGGGCAAAGGAAAGGAATACATAAAGGGAGACCATATTGTGTTATTTGGTTAATTAACATGCATATATTTCTTCTTTTTTTTTTAATTTTTAATAAATACTTTTGTTCCAAATTAACTAGAACATCTTTTTCTCTATTCCCAATGCTTCTGCTAATCACAAAGATTTCATCACCAGACTAAACATTTCCTAGTCTATTTCAATGTATTTGTAATAATGTTGATTATTAGAGAATAAGATTTATAGCCACTTAATTTTACTTACAGTTACCAGAAATTAAACAAGGTTCTTAATATTTGTCAATCTTCAGATTTTTCATCTACCATGAAACAAAGTAACAATACCTCCTAAAAGTCAACTAGCAATTGAAAGTAACTGGTCTGAGGATGGAATAAAAGTAGCAATAAAATATTATGCAGTTCATTTATTTATATATATATATATATATATATATATATATATATAAAAAATACACACACACACACACACAGAAAAACATTTCTACATAAAAATACTGCACTATAGTGCATTCTAGTGGTCTTGGGGAAAACTGCAACAGAGTTTATATAAAAGGGGAATAGAAAATATTCTTTACAATGTATTAATAAAAATAACATACTATGAGCTAACATTTCATAAAAAATTAGACAAAGTAAGTAAAGAACTGTCGTGTTTACCACAGGCTGTGTTCCCTTAAAGCAGGGTCTCCCTACTAAACTGTTAAATTCACTGAAAAAACCTTACTCCCAGAACCCTTCTCAACTTAGCAACATTCAAGCTAACATGCCAAATACCTTTCTCACTCATATTGTTTCCCATGGTTTTAATACTTCATCTCACTGTGTTACTTACCAATCTTCTTATTCCCTTATCTTTTTGTCTAAATGTGACTGTAAAATAAATAGCAGATCTCATGCCTAAGAACCCTATGTCTGATACACAGCTAGGCCTCCCAACTGACCTTTACTGGATAAAAGAGCATAAAAAATGTATAATAATAAAGAAGTCCCATTACAGCTTTGTTTCAAAGTCTATCATTATATATAATGTGCTAGGAATATAACACAGCATCCCAATCACATTTTAAATGTTGATGCTAAAAATAATCTGATTAAATCAATGAACTGTTTCTGAATTCTTATGACATGTCAGGCACTGTATTGGCTGCTGGGAATAACCGGCAGTTTGTAGTCAATTAAGGGTGGAGGCAAGGAGATGGCTAAGAGATAGAAATTGAAATAAATAACGACAGCACACTGTGGTAAGAGTTATGAGATAGATCAAATGTTATAGGAATTCAGATAAGAGATTATCTAATTCTGTCAAAGGTGGTGTCAAGGAGAACTACCAAAAAAAAAGGTAACATATGAGATTCTAGCTAAACCTCAAAAAACCAGTGGTTTTCCAATCAGACAAATAGATTGATGAAAAGTATTTCTGGCAGAAGAAAAAGTGGGGAAAAAAATACATTATGGGTCCCCCCCCCCAAAAAAAAAGCCGTGTGTGTGTGTTTGTGCATGGGTGTGTGTGCGTGTGTATGTGTGTGTGTGTACAGGACTAGAAAGGGGCCTGGCTGTAAGAGGTTTTACTAAGATCTCTGAAATTAGCTAGATATTTTTAAGCAGGGATATAATATCTGTATTTCAAAAAATGCATCCTATGAATGTGGAAGATGAATTAGAATATGGAAATATCAGAGGCAAGGAAGATGTGGGTTTTTATAGTGCAGGTGAAAGAAATGGGGAAAAATGGAATGTTTCAGAATTGTATTTTATATAGTATTTAAGGTTCTTCAGTATAGAAGTTCCTGAGTAAATCTTAGATTAAACACTCTGTGTTCTTGAAAAATTAGACGTAAATTTCCTCATTTTACATATTCTACCACACTATAAGGAATGCCTTGATAAATTCCTGGCTAGGTGAGTAATTTTCCTGTAATGTTAAAGATTCAGTTTCACTTAATTTTGGATCCTTTTAAGTGGGACTACTTAGAAAATCTGTAACACAGCAATTCTAAATCATGATCCTTACACTTAGGTGTCAGGGTAAATGACAAGATGTCTAGAATTTGCTGTTCTAAAATAGATAAAGATGAAGCAAGAATGACAGGAACATTAACTGTTGAGGCTTGGAGGTGTATATAAAAAATATTAGTCTCTCTACCTTTATGTTTCAAATTATGCTCAATAAAGAAAACTTAAAAATTCTTGGCTTAAAGTATTAGAAAAATAATTTCAGAATCAGAAGAACTGAAATGTTCTAGAACTCCAAAATTTTTAAAAATTCCTGGCATTAAAACATTCGAAAAATAATTTCAGAGTTAAAGAACTGAAATGTTTAAGAGCTCTAATCCAGAAAGAAATGCTTTTTTATTCCTTATTACACTTTAGTGCCATAACATCAGGAATAATCTCAAATCATTCCATAAATTTCAAAAGATACAAAATCAGTGACTCTGGAATCAGGAGAATTCCATCAGTTTAAAAAAAAAAAAAAAAAAAATCTTCCCTAGACCCAGCCAGTTATCTCTTCTGTTTTTCAAAGTCAAACTACTTGAAAAAATAAGCGACTGTATCTGTCTCCACTTTATCTGTCCTGAGTTCTCAGCCCTCAATCTCCTGTGATCTGGTTTATGTTCCTGCTACCTCACTGAAACTATCCTGGCAAGGAGACCAGCAAGCTCCTACCTGGCACATCTAGATAACTACTTTCAGCTTCCAACTTACCTGGAGTCTGCTGGGCATCTGCAATAGTCACCTTCTTTAGCTTGCATCCAATATACTGCTCTCTCCTTCCTTCTCCAACCATTCCTTTGCTGGCTCTTCCTCCTTCTGCCTTTTCCTTAAACATTTCCATTTCCTGTGGCTCCGGCTGATTCTCTCTTCTCCTCCCATAATACTTGTTCTGCTTGTTTCAACTACTCCTATAACTTCATCCACAATACTTATGGTTCCCTAAGTATACATCTCTAGTCCTGAGTCCCACTCCCATATCTGCTTTTCAACACTTACTTCTTAATCTTTAATTCATTTGATAACTTATAAAACTTTCACTCGGGCGCCTGGGTGGCTCAGATGGTTAAGCGTCTGCCTTCGGCTCAGGTCATGATCCCAGGGTCCTGGGATCGAGTCCCACATCGGGCTCCCGGCTCAGCGGGGAGCCTGCTTCTCCCTCTGACCCTCTCCCCTCTCATGCTGTTTCTCTCTCGCTCGCTCTCTAAAAAATAAATAAAATCTTTAAAAAAAAAAAAACCTTTCACTCAAGCCAGGAACCTGGGAACCATTCTTGAATTATAATTTTTATGGATTCTATTTAAAACGTTTCATAGCTGATGCCTCCTCTATTCCAGCAGCTACCATGTTATAATTTCTCATCCTAGACTATTAGACTCTTCCAGCTTCTATTCATAGATCTTTCCAGTCCATCCCCCATAACGAAGTCAGGGTGATCTTTCTAAAATCTCTTTCACACTATTCCATGCTCCTTTCAACTGCATGACAACTAAATACAATATGTATTCCTAGACTGGATCCTAGAGCAGGAAAAAAAAGTACTATAAAAATCATTACTGGGACATCTGATGAGGAAAAGTACTATTAAGATCATCACTGGAGGGGCACCGAGGTGGCTCAGTCATTAAGCATCTGCCTTCAGCTCAGGTCATGATCCCAGGGTCCTGGGATCAAGCCCCACATTGGGCTCCCTGCTCAGCGGGAAGCCTGCTTCTCCCTCTCCCACTCCCCCTGCTTGTGTTCCCTCTCTCGCTGTCTGTCAAATAAATAAAATCTTAAAAAAAAAAAAAATCATCACTGGAGCATATGAATATGGGCTATATTGGGAGTAAGCATCACAGAAATTTCCTTTACAACTCAAAAACGATTTCAGTTCCATAAAGAAATGGATAATGACAGCTCAGGAAACACCTAAGTTTCTTAAGAAAGGACAGGGAAGAGGAAAAACGTTGCTAAATTTTTTTTAAATCATGTAAATCAGTTTATTGGTCATGATTATTAAACATTCACAAGAACATTAAATTAACATATTACAACCATTTTTAAATGTGTATTACAGACACTATTTCCTGAATTCAAAAGTATTAAGTATTAAAATTTGGATTTGTTTTAGGAATGACAGAAAAATTACTCCAATCTTTAAAGAGAACATCATCTTCCATTTCATTGAATTACCTTTCCTGTTTAAGAGCATACTCCAGCATTTTGATCCTCCTCACAAGATCCTTCTTCAAAATTTCTTGACCCTTTCTTTCCCCCTGAAGGAAAGCAATCTGGGCCTGAGTAGGGAAAAGAAAGACAAAACTAAGATTAGACCAAATAAAAAAACTTTTTAACCCAGTTGAAGAAAGAAACTTTGGGAGATAGGACACTTAGATGCAAATACGTTTCCTTCTACAAATGTGTCACAAGTGCGTAAGTATATAGAAAGGCACTGATTGCAAGGGGAAAAAAACCTTTTTTTTTTTAAATATGCATTTTACTTCAGATCAGGGATGTTACAACAGGTAGACTGTGTCCTCTAAGAGTCTATAATCTAAAACAACCAATATAAATGCAGACATATGCAAAGTGTACAGTATAGTTTACTTAAGTGTTTATGGCATTGAGGGGGCTTCTCTTTTATAAAGAGGGAAGATGGGGAAAGGGGCTAGTAAAATCCTGAGTTCTTGTAACACCACTGAGAAGTAACAGTTCTCAGAGCTTCACCACATATATAAATCTTATGATGGACTTAAAATTGTCTTGAAAGGCTTTATTCTGGACCTCCCCTGCAAACAATCAAGAGCTGCCTTTTCTCAATCCCCACCTTTCACCCTAGCCTCTTTTAGGAGATTTAATGTGCAGGAAAAAAGTGAAAGTTCAAAAAAGGAAAATCAGAAACCACAGCCCTCCATTGGTTCCTGGCCCCTTCAAGGAATAATTAAAGAAAAAACCAAAAACAAAAAAACCCTACATTTTAACATGTAAACAAACTGTAAAACTTTTGTCTTCAGAAAAACAGCTAGGTAAGAGTGGCTCTCCAGAGTATCTAAAAAGACACTTAGAATTGAAATAGTATCTTCCACTTAAGGAACTGAAACTAGTTGCAAACACTAACTTGTTAAAGTAACCCATAACACCACTAAGAATAGGGCAGAAGGGATTTAAGGACCCTCAAGGATAGCCATCAATTTCACTATTCTCATATGCTTTCCCCTTCCATTTCTATTACATTAGTGCAGATAACAATGTTACTTATATTTCCACAGTGCTTTCCATTTAAGTAAGCAGGAACTTATATTTAATGATGACCTTACCACATCCTTAAGAAATTGTGGATTGTCCAACTAAAGTTTAGTGAGTGAACCACTAACTACTTCTACTCAGTTTGAATAACACTCCTTTCTATGTTTTCAGTACCATATTGAACACAAAATCCAATTTACCAAGGATCTTATAATTTTCAAGATGTAAGTAGTGCTGTTTTTGTTTTTATTTCAATAAGCTCTTGAAATTGCAATTAAAGGATTATTTTTTTCTTACTGAATTAAAAATAGTCCAAAGACAACCATAGACAGAGGAAAAGACATCAAATATCTATACTACCCAAACTTAATGATCATAAAACCTTTCAAAATTATGTATTCTGCAAGGAGATCATTATTTTATGTAAGCATAATAATAACACATTGTATTTAAAGCTGACAAAAATGAGGGGCACCTGGGTGGCTCAGTCAGTTAAGCTTCCAACTCTTGATTTTAGCTCGGGTCATGATCTCGCAATCGGGAGATTGAGCCCCAGGTCAGGCTCTGCGCTGAGCATGGCGCCTGCTTAAGATTCTCCCTTCCTGGGGCGTCTGGGTAGCTCAGTCAAACATCTGCCTTCAGCTCAGGTCATGATCCCAGGGTCCTGGGATCGAGCCCCGCATCAGGCTCCCTGCTTGTGGGGAGCCTGCTTCTCCCTCTCCTCCCTGCTCATGTTCTCTCTCGCTCTCTCTCTCAAATAAAAATCTTTAAAAAAAAAAAAAAGATTCTCTCCCTCTCCCTCTATCCCTCATCTCCATCTGCCCCCCACTCACCCACTAAAAAAAAGGAGTAATAAAAGCTGAAAAAATGAAAGCCTTGTCAAAAGGATATGATAGTCCAACTTGTTTGACCAAACAATGCTTTGGCACAGAATTCTATACACTCTTCAAAACGGCTTTAATAAAAACAATAATCTAATCTGCATAATTATAAAATCAAAGTAATAATAAAATAAATGACCAATTTCTTCCTCTCTATATCCTTTGGCTAGTTTTGTATTTCTGCCACCGTCATGGTTCCTGGATGATTCTGAAACTTCAGCCCATAATACTGGAAAGTCTGTACTGTGATTAAAAACTCCTTGTTGTTTCCAGTACACTTGCTTCCCCATCCTTCTACCAATTCACATATTGGATTAGTTAAATATTTAATAAAAATAAAAGACCTAGAACCGTTTAAGACAAAGATTACAGAGAAGATGGAGCTGCCCAGAAAGACAAACAAAAAAGAATAATAGTATTGGTGATATTTCTTGGTGATCACAGAATACCTCTGTGATATTTCTGCCAAAGATACATAACCTGAAATCAATCATAAGGAAATATCAGGCGAATTCAAGTTGAGGGACATTTCACATTAACTTTCTTGTGATGTTCAAAAGTGTCAGCTTATAAAAGTCAAGGAAAGACTGTTTTAGATTGAAGGAGCCTAAAAAGACATGAAAACCAAATGTAATACATGATTTTGAACTGAATTTGGCTATAAAAGGCCCTAATTAGGACAAGTGAAGAAACATGAATGGGGTCTGAGGATTAGATGGTAGTAATGTATCAGTGTTAATTTCCTGATTTTGATGGTTATATGTGGTTACATAAGATAGTACTTCTTGGGGCGCCTGGGTGGCTCAGTCGTTAAGCGTCTGCCTTCGGCTCAGGTCATGATCCCAGGGTCCTGGGATCGAGCCCCACATCGGGCTCCCTGCTCAGCGGGAAGCCTGCTTCTCCCTCTCCCACTCCCCCTGCTTGTGTTCCCTCTCTAGCTCTCTCTCTCTCTCTCTCTGTCAAATAAATAAATAAATAAATCTTTAAAAAAAAAAAAAAAAGATAGTACTTCTTTATAGGAAATAAACACTAAAGTATTTGGAGGGAGGCAACGGCCTATCAGGTTGGCTGGCAACTTGCCCTCAAATGGTTCAGGAAGAAAAAAATTCTGTGTATTACCCTTGCAACTGTTCTGTCAATATAAGATCTATTTTTTTTTTAATTTTGAAACAAACACTAGGCCAACTCCCCCTAATATGATAAGATACAAAAAATTCAATTCAAAGTCAGCATCATGTATAATGGAAAAACCCAAGAAGTACTGACAATCAGGAACAAAAAAGGACGTCCATTTTTTACCACAAATATTTAACCATGTTCTGGAGGTAGTGGCCAATGTCATCAGTCAAGAAAGAAAGAAGTTTAAAAACAGAAAAAAGAAAACAAAATTGTCATCACTTGTAAATGATATGAGTAGATACCAGGAAAATCCAAAGAAACTGACTATTAGAGGAATTTTAATGAAGTGGCTACATGTAAAAATAATAAATTAAAACCCATGAGCTATAAAAACAGTTCTATAATGAAAGAAAACAATCCCATTTTTAATAACAAAAATAAGCTGATTAGAATAAAACTTCCAAGAAAAAAAATAAAAGCTAAGCAAAGAATACAGCACATGGTAATTCTAAAATACACATGGAAAAAAAAGCAAAATAAACAAATTATTTAAAATCCCTGAGATATTTTAAAAGATATTATGATTCTACAATCACTTAAATGGTGGTACTGATTCATGAACAGAGAGCTATGGTATGGACAATCCAAATACAAACACAAATATATACAGGAATTTAGTATATGCTAAAGGGAACACTGCAGATCACTGGGGGAAATGTGGATTATTCAATAAATGTTGATGGGCAGCCACCTGGAAAATATTTCTCACATCAAAACAAATAATAAAAAATGTTCAGGGGCGCCTGGGTGGCTCAGTCGGTTAAGCATCTGCCTTCAGCTCAGGTCATGATTCCAGGGTTCTGCGACTGAGCCCCACATCAGGCTCCTTGCTCAGTGGGGAGCCTGCTTCTCCCTCTCTCTCTGACTGCAGCTCCCCCTGCTTGTGCTCTCTCTCTAATAAATAAATAAAATCTAAAAAAAAAAAATGTTCAAAGAACCCCAAAGCATTTGAAGAAAAGGTAGGGTTTGTTTTTGTTCTAATAATCTCAAAGTTAGGAAAGCCTTTCTGAGAATAAGATAAAACCCAAAGCCACAAAAGACTAATACATTTTATCTCAAAAAATATTTGCATGTATATGGCAATTAAAAAGTTGCTGAAAACCTGTTACAAGAAGTAAGAATTCTTCTTTGACAAATGTCAAAATGAAATAGGAAATGCAGTCATCACAAATCACAAGAGTTTGCTTTTCTTACTATATTAAGAGCACTTACAAATCAGTAAGATAAAAATCAAGGACTCAACAGAAAAACATACAAAGGACATGTTCATAAAAAGGAAATACAAAACCTCAAACATATTAAAAAGATGTTTAATGTCACATGAAAGAGAAATACCAATTAAAACTATAATCAGATTTCCTCTTTTCCATCAGACTAAGTTCAATAATGTAATAAAACAATATGTTGGCGGGAAAAGGCATTTGCATGTTGGCTGTGGTGATATAAATCAGTTTCACTACAGTGGACAATTTAGCAACATCCATTGACTCTGTAAATGCTCATACTCTTTACTCAGCAATTCTAATTCTAGATTGTTATCCTTCGAATATATTTGCACACGTGTGAAATGATACACTGAAAGAATACACACAAAAATGTATGTATAATTCTATTTTTTTTAAAGATTTTATTCATTTATTTATTTGAGAGAGAGAGAATGAGAGAGAGCACATGAGAGGGGGGAGGGTCAGAGGGAGAAGCAGACTCCCTGCCGAGCAGGGAGCCCGATGTGGGACTCAATCCTGGGACTCCAGGATCATGACCTGAGCCGAAGGCAGTCGCTTAACCAACTGAGCCACCCAGGCGCCCAAAAATGTATATATAATTCTAATGTCCCTCCACGGGGACAGGTTAAATTATGAATACCACTAGTGGAAAATCAGGTCCTCAACTGATATCTATAAAAAAAGAGGAAGAAAGAGTCAATCTCTTAGATCTTTTCCCTCTGGAAAACTCTACTCAGAAAATTAGAAAAAAAGATCCTTAAAACA